TGTAATAATCATGCAAGACATACTAAATGTTTTTTTTCCTTTTATGAGCGTTATTACAATATAAGTAGAAAACTAAAACAAAAACAAAAAATTATTTGTCTGTGTTAGCTCCAAGATAAGTTTTCTCCCCATCAAAATTTACAACATTTAGTATTAAAAAATCTTTATCATTAGCAGATATATCGACTCATTCTTAGCAGATATAACGACTTGTCCATTTCCTCTGTTTTGCAGCTTATTCTTTTCATGATCAATGCCGTCAGGCTGCTGTGTGATATGGAGAAGGCGGCTACGAAGATGACCACTCAGTGTTACGGTCGTACGCTGGAGGCACTCTACGTCACATACGCTGACTTGACTCACCCTAACGGCACGGTATGATGTAGTTAGTCACTCACCCTAACGGGACGGTGTGTTGTGGTTAGTCTCTCACCCTAACGGGACGGTGTGATGTAGTTAGTCGCTCACCCTAACGGGACAGTATGATGTAGTTAGTCACTCACCCTAACGGGACGGTGTGATGTAGTTAGTCCCTCACCCTAACGGGACGGTGTGTTGTGGTTAGGCACTCACCCTAACGGGGCGGTGTGATGTAGTTAGTCACTCACCCTAACGGGACGGTGTGTTGTGGTTAGGCACTCACCCTAACGGGGCGGTGTGATGTAGTTAGTCACTCACCCTAACGGGGCGGTGTGATGACGTTAGTCACTCACCCTAACGGGACGGTGTGATGTAGTTAGTCACTCACCCTAACGGGATGGTGTTATCTAGTTAGTCACTCACCCTAAAGGGACGGTGTGATGTAGTTAGTCACTCACCCTAACGGGATGGTATGATGTAGTTAGTCACTCACCCTAACGGGACGGTGTGTTGTAGTTAGTCACTCAACCTAACGGGATGGTGTGATGTAGTTAGTCACTCAACCTAATGGGACGGTGTGTTGTAGTTAGTCACTCAACCTAACGGGACTGTGTGATGTAGTTAGTCACTCAACCTAACGGGACGGTGTGATGTAGTTAGTCACTCAACCTAACGGGACGGTGTGTTGTAGTTAGTCACTCAACCTAACGGGACGGTGTGATGTAGTTAGTCACTCAACCTAACGGGACGGTGTGATGTAGTTAGTCACTCAACCTAACGGGACGGTGTGATGTAGTTAGTCACTCAACCTAACGGGACGGTGTGATGTAGTTAGTCACTCAACCTAACGGGACGGTGTGATGTAGTTAGTCACTCAACCTAACGGGACGGTGTGATGTAGTTAGTCACTCAACCTAACGGGACGGTGTGATGTAGTTAGTCACTCAACCTAACGGGACGGTGTGATGTAGTTAGTCACTCAACCTAACGGGACGGTGTGATGTAGTTAGTCACTCAACCTAACGGGACGGTGTGATGTAGTTAGTCACTCAACCTAACGGGACGGTGTGATGTAGTTAGTCACTCAACCTAACGGGACGGTGTGATGTAGTTAGTCACTCAACCTAACGGGACGGTGTGATGTAGTTAGTCACTCAACCTAACGGGACGGTGTGATGTAGTTAGTCACTCAACCTAACGGGACGGTGTGTTGTAGTTAGTCACTCAACCTAACGGGACGGTGTGATGTAGTTAGTCACTCACCCTAACGGGACGGTATGATGTAGTTAGTCACTCACCCTAACGGGACGGTGTGTTGTAGTTAGTCACTCAACCTAACGGGACGGTGTGATGTAGTTAGTCACTCACCCTAACGGGACGGTATGATGTAGTTAGTCACTCACCCTAACGGGGCGGTGTGATGTAGTTAGTCCCTCACCCTAACGGGGCGGTATGATGTAGTTAGTCACTCAACCTAACGGGACGGTATGATGTAGTTAGTCACTTAACCTAACGGGACGGTGTGATGTAGTTAGTCACTCAACCTAACGGGACGGTGTGTTGTAGTTAGTCACTCACCCTAACTGGACGGTATGATGTAGTTAGTCACTCACCCTAACGGGACGGTATGATGTAGTTAGTCACTCACCCTAACGGGACGGTTTGATGAAGTTAGTCACTCACCCTAACGGGACGGTATGATGTAGTTAGTCACTCACCCTAACGGGACGGTGTGATGTAGTTAGTCACTCACTCTAACTGAACAGTGTATAGTATATGATGACTCACACTAACACGTCGTTATGTTGTATATGATGACTCGACGATGATCATCGGCATATTGTAATTGATGACTCACCTGGTTGGATGGTATTTTAGTTGCATTTGATGACTAACCCTAAAAGGGCGATATATTATATATATTAACTCACCTTATCGGGACAGTATGTTATATATGATGCCTAACCCTAACGGGTAAGGTGTATTGTATTTTTAATGACTCACTCTAACGGGGCGGTGTTTTGTATTTAATGACTTACCACAGCGGGATGGTGTGTTGTCTTCAATGCATTACTCACTCTAACGGGGTGGGGTTTTGTATTTAATGACTCACCACAGCGGGACGATGTGTTGTCTTCAATGCATTACTCACTCTAACGGGGTGGGGTTTTGTATTTAATGACTTACCACAGCGGGATGGTGTGTTGTCTTCAATGCATTACTCACTCTAACGGGGTGGGGTTTTGTATTTAATGACTCACCACAGCGGGACGATGTGTTGTCTTCAATGCATTACTCACTCTAACGGGGTGGGGTTTTGTATTTAATGACTCACCACAGCGGGATGGTGTGTTGTCTTCAATGCATTACTCACTCTAACGGGGTGGGGTTTTGTATTTAATGACTCACCACAGCGGGATGGTGTGTTGTCTTCAATGCATTACTCACTCTAACGGGGTGGGTTTTTTTTTTCAATTTCATTTGTCGATTTATCGACAACACTTAAATTAAAACTGCTTGAAAGAAATGTGAAACTATATTGTAATCTTTTTAATGTGGCACATTGTCACCCGTAAGAATGATAAGTTGCTGAAATTCTTTGTTTACGTGTGATGATAATATTACTATTACTTATGCTATTATTAATAGATTGCAATCGTTTGAATGTTGCCTTCCCTCCGCGCCCCCCCCCCCTAAAACACACACACAATTCTGTAGACACACCATGTAATATCTTGTTCAACATTTGTCGTTTGTGTTTCAGCACACGGATCAGTTGAACCAACAAGACTGCAACGACTTTCGTGTTCAGGTTAGTGGCTGTAGTGTTTACGTAATCACCAAGTAGGCCTAGTGGTTAACTTTTACCAGAGTTTCCGAAGATTTTGGGGCTAGTTAAAAAAAAATATCAATCCATAAATTTAACTATTTATTTATTTATATATATATATATATATATATATATATTTATTTTTAAAAAAAAAATTTTTTTTTGGGGGGGGGGGATATTAATAGTACTAATGTAGGGGTCGAGAACCTATGTCTCGCGAACCAGATGTGGCTCAATTGATGGCTGCATCTGGCTCGCAGACAAATGTTCGATTATTAAAAAAAAAAAGTTTCTTTAGACTCCTTTGATTAGCAACAGCATAACAATGTTATTAAAAAGAATTCAGAGACCTAATTATTGCATTTTTAGTGTTGAAATTACACAAAATGCACACATTTATTTGAATTTTTTAGTTTTAAACATAATGTATGGCTCTCACAGAATTACTTTTCAAAATGTTTGGTGTCCATGGCTCTCACAGAATTACTTTTCAAAATGTGTGGTGTCCATGGCTCTCACAGAATTACTTTTCAAAATGTGTGGTGTCCATGGCTCTCTCAGAATTACTTTTCAAAATGTGTGGTGTCCATGGCTCTTTCAGAATTACTTTTCAAAATGTGTGGTGTCCATGGCTCTCACAGAATTACGTTTCAAAATGTGTGGTGTCCATGGCTCTCACAGAATTACTTTTCAAAATGTGTGGTGTCCATGGCTCTCTCAGAATTACTTTTCAAAATGTGTGGCCTCCATGGCTCTCACAGAATTACTTTTCAAAATGTGTGGTGTCCAAGGCTCTCACAGAATTACTTTTCAAAATGTGTGGTGTCCATATGGCTCTCACAGAATTACTTTTCAAAATGTGTGGTGTCCATGGCTCTCTCAGAATTACTTTTCAAAATGTGTGGTGTCCATGGCTCTTTCAGAGTTACTTTTCAAAATGTGTGGTGTCCATGGCTCTCACAGAATTACTTTTCAAAATGTGTGGTGTCCATGGCTCTCACAGAATTACTTTTCAAAATGTGTGGTGTCCATGGCTCTCACAGAATTACTTTTCAAAATGTGTGGTGTCCATGGCTCTCACAGACAAAAAGGTTCCCGACCCCTGTATGAACGACTAGAGTTTACACTTTTTTTTGAGTTGGGGGTGGGGGGTCGGGGGTGGGGGAGGGGTCAGTAGTATTTAGGGCTAGATTTTACCGAGTTGTTGGACTTAGTGTTTGCACGGTTGTGTTTACGATTTGATGTTAAAGCTGGTCAAGTGGTAATTTGAATTTTAATCCAGCCAGATATGTTGGTTGGCTAGTATGGAAACACGAGGCGTCAGTTCAACAGTGTGTGTTGTATGATAGAGACATAGTATATGAATGGCCGGTCAGTTCAACCTTGGCATTGTGGGTTGTATTATATAGACATAGTATATGAACGGTCGGTCAGTTCAACCTTGCGGGGTGTATGATATAGACCCTTGCGGGTTGTATGATATAGACATAGTATATGAATGGCCGGTCAGTTCAACCTTGTGGGTTGTATGATATAGACATAGTATATGAATGGTCGGTCAGTTCAACCTTGTGGGTTGTATGATATAGACATAGTATATGAATGGTCGGTCAGTTCAACCTTGCGGGGTGTATGATATAGACCCTTGCGGGTTGTATGATATAGACATAGTATATGAATGGCCGGTCAGTTCAACCTTGTGGGTTGTATGATATAGACATAGTATATGAATGGTCGGTCAGTTCAACCTTGCCATTGTGGGTTGTATGATATAGACATAGCATATGAATGGTCGGTCAGCTCAATCTTGGCATTGTGGGTTGTATTATATAGACATGGTATATGAATGATCGGTCAGCTCAACCTTGCGGGTTATATGATATAGACCCTTGCGGGTTGTTTGATATATAGAAATTGTATATGAATGGCCGGTCAGTTCAACCTTGTGAGTTGTATGATATAGACATATATATGAATGGCCGGTCAGTTCAACCTTGTGAGTTGTATGATATAGACATATATATGAATGGCCGGTCAGTTCAACATTGTGGGTTGTATGATATAGACATAGTATATGAATGGCCAGTCAGTTCAATCTTGTGGGTCGTATGATATAGAATATGAATTCATGAATGGCCGGTTTATTTTGATCGTAGGATACCTGAACATATAATATAACGTGAAGGGGGTAGGGGGTGTTTTATCATTTTGTTATATTTTTGTTATATTGTGTTAAATAGGAGGGAAAAGAGGTGAGGGCGGGTGATACTGTGTAAATAACAATTATTTTTATGTTGTTGTTTTTTAAATGAATTCTCAATTTGCTTTTCAATTTTAAGAAATTATCCTGGATTTTTAAATACTGATTTTTTTTATTTTTTTTTGCTTTCGATAATTAAAATATGAAAAAAATTGTGGCATTTTGTTAGAAATTTAATTTTGATTTATTTATTTATTTTTTTACTATGTTTTATCGGGTGGGTTTGGTTGGTAAAAATGTTATATAATTTTAGTGGGTTATGGTCAATTTAAATGTTCCACAAAGTTAAAAGTTCTAGATTTGAGTAAAAAATTTCCTATTTTTGTGTTGTTTTTTTAGAAACCCACGCTTGTATCTTGTTTTGTAAGGAACCCACACTTGTATCTAACCCACACTTGTGCCTTGTTTTGATGGAAGGGGAAAAAAATCGTTAATGACAACTTATTTAGCAACATATCTTTTATTTTTCTTGTTAATAAATACAATAGTGTTAAGGATGTACAATAATTAATTTTTTAAATATATATATGTTGTTTTTTTTTTTTAAATTGAAACCCAGATGACGAGTACTTACTTGTGCGCAGACGTCAACTGTGAATACGACCAGACATACTTATTTAGCAACATATCTTTTATTTTTCTTGTTAATAAATACAATAGTGTTAAGGATGTACAATAATTAATTTTTTAAATATATATATGTTGTTTTTTTTTTTTTAAATTGCAACCCAGATGACGAGTACTTACTTGTGCGCAGACGTCAACTGTGAATACGACCAGACAATGATCCTAGAAATGTAAGATCAGAGAATAAACATTTTGCATAAATGGTTTTAGATTTTTTAAAAAACACACACAGAGATAAATAAATATAGGCCTATGCATTAATATATACCGGTATTTATATATTTTGTTGAATACCCGTTTCTTAGATAATGGCAGAAGCTATCAAATTCGGATAATATCTATGCGGAATTCGCTACAGGCTCTTATAAAACTCAAGTTACTCCAGCCACGTGCAAGTGGTGCGTGTCTTACCTTGGGAGCTTGCTTCCTAAACTATATGCTCACACACAACAACGTCGGGTCTACTTTATTTTTATTAAAAATATTTCAATTTCCTCGTCAAATTTTCCAAACCGTATCGTACAAATAGGTTCGAACCGCGGAAAAACCTGCCAGAGGCTCCCCTTGACACCGTCGAGTCCTGCAACCTCACCAAAACATGTCCGACGGGGGGCGACGTGTTGGGGGAAGAGACGACGACATTCGGGGAATCCTATGACGATTACCTGAATGAGCTCAAGGAACTGGAAGATGAGATCGAAGACGCGATAAAGGTGGCAGACGGCGACGAGCTGACTGAAAGCGTGTCAGTCGCGCCGACGGTGGACAACAACGAGAGAACCGGTGAAGGTGGCAGCGAGCAGTTTGACGGGGATATCAACACAGGCTCGGTAAGTTACAGAGATTGTAATTGTAATGGAAGGGTGGAGGGATGGATGGATGGATGGATGGACGGGTCAATGGATGTGTTGATGGAAGTAGGGATAATTAATGGATGAATGTATGGATGGATGGAAGAGCGGATGGATGAACGGACGGATGAATGGACGGACGGAGGGATGGATGGATAGCCCGATTGATGGGTATAAGGATGAGTGGATATATGGATGGATGAATGAATGTGTTGATGAAAGAAGGAATGATTAATGGATGGATCGACGGACGAACGGATTGGATGGATAGTGCGATTGGTAGGTAGATAGATGATTGGATAAATGGGTGTATGTGTTGATTAATGAATGGATGTGTTGGATGAAAGTAAGGATAATTAATGGATGGTTGGACGGAGGGATGGATTGGGGGATGGATGGATAGATGTATAGATGGATTGTTTGATGAAAAGATGGATTTTCAAATGGAAGGGTAAATGAAGATGCATGAGTGGATGGATGGATGGATGGTTGGCCGATAAGGGAGAGAGTCATACACAAACTTCTGAAACACCAATTTTAGTATGCTTTTTGCAATTGTAGTTTTGCGTGTAGGAAACAACTGAAATGGTGTTCATTCAATTGTTGAAAACCCAACTCGTTGATCAATTTATCACTCTATCCCTAAGGATTAAAACCTCCTTCGAAATCAGGTCACGTGTACAACAAGGCATTTATTCTAATAAGCTTTTTTTAACATTAGAGATTTTTTTTTATAACGCTTCCCCACAAAGGTGTAGATAGCTCAACTCTATTATTGAATTAACACAGACAACCTAATAGTTACTAAGTCTAAGTAATAGGATGTGATAAACTAAGTCTAAGTAATAGGATGTGATAAACTAAGTCTAATTAATAGGATGTGATAACCTATACCCCGAGCGCCCACACATGTCCTACCCATGTCCTCATCTCTTTTCAGACCGGAATGTTTGACGAGGACAGGCCCATGCTGTACGGTCTCATTACCATGACGATCGTCCTGATGGTGGGTCTCGTGGGCGTGGCCTACATCGGTTTCAGGCGGTACAGGCGCACGTTGTTCGCCAATTACAGGCGGGGCTACTCACAGTTGACAGAGGAGGAGTCCAAGATGCTCCGTCAAGAATACAACTGATGGATTGGTTGGGATGTCGGGATCTTACGGGGGGGAAGGTTTTGAGAGAGCAAAGTGGATGGGGGTGGGTGGCTGAGTTTGAAGCATCGATGTGTGCACGTATCAATTTGTTGACAGTGTCTAACAAAGTCTACTAACCCATCACACGGGGAAAGACTGTCAGAATCCCTTGTTCATATTTGTTTAAAACACTTCAAACATTTTTTTTTTTTTTTAAATCTTTGAATCTACCCTGCATTAGTTCAAACACGAACTGCGTTTTAACTTGATGAAGGTTTACATTTCATCAGATAAAAGAGGTGCATTGCAAGTTGCATGATATCTGATATAATTGTTCTGTTATGAAAAACAAAAAAAATTGGATTCGATCGTTGATTTTTTACTGAGTTGATACAGATCATCCATGTACTTAAACGCCGTTTGTAACTCTTAAGTTTGTACAAATCCTGAAAATCAAGAACACGGCGCTGACCACGGGCGAGCTTAAGATTTTGAGGTCCGTGGTTTTATTCTAATTGTGTATTCTTCTAAATTAGCACACTTTCCGGCTAATGATCTGATAGTTATGGATGCCACGACGTTCAGGTTAGGCATAGGGATCGATTTAGGGTTCATGTTAGGCATAGGGGTCGATTTAGGGTTCAGGTTAGGCATAGGGATCGATGTAGGGTTCAGGTTAGGCATAGGGATCGATTTAGGGTTCAGGTTAGGCATAGGGATCGATTTAGGGGTCAGGTTAGGCATAAGTGTCAACCAAGATGGCAGCCATTGAGAAAATAGTGGCATCCATACTCACCATTTACCCAATTTCCTGGTTCTTCCCCTCCTCCCCCAACCCCTAACCCCAACCCTAAGCCTAATACTGATGTATGTATCTACATACGTATCCCTACAGGTACAGATATATGTATAGGTATCAGTATATATCATCATATCTAACCCTAGGCATAAGTGTCAACCAAGATGGCAGCCATTGAGAAAATAGTGGCATCCATACTCACCATTTACCCAATTTCCTGGTTCTTCCCCTCCTCCCCCCCCCCCCACCCAACCCCACAACAAAAATAAAACGTAAACCTTTAAAAGGGAATTTAAAGGCCACGGGGTTGGGTTGCCTTGTTTTTTTGTTGTTGTTTTTTTTTTTTTTTTTTTCATTTCGAGGGCCCCGAACGATGGCTTAACCTCCGCATATTTTTAAAAATGAAATCAATATAGGCCTGCTAGCAAGCGTAAGGAAAAAATAAGGAAAAAAAAGCAATATGAGTCAGGTTTCTTTAGCTACACGGCCAAGCCCAAGATGTATCAATATTTTATTTAACTCCAACTAGGCAACATCTGTTCAAATGTTCTCGAGTTTTATTCGGGAGTGGTCTTAGCAACCCCACGGCTTATAAGTGAATATAATTACCGCTTGCTAGCCATAAAATTGTTTTTTGTTTTTTTTTAAATAAGTAAGTTTTACTTAGCCCTTAAACTTGATCAGGAGCAAAGATTTTATTTTTAATCAGCTCTCTGAAGTGATACATTCGTGAGCTTAAGGACCGTGCACATATTATATGACGTGAAGAGGGTGGGGGCATGGGCGCCCGCATTAAGGGGAGCACTTGCCCCCCCCCCTGGATTGATGGATAAAAAAAATTTAGACAAAAATAGACAAAAAATGTATTAAAGTAAAGAGAAAATAAAAGTAACTAAGCTGATGTCCTGTCCGTTCGTTCACCATACAAATACGCTACAGTAAATTAAAACTACATTAAAACATAACTAAAAATTGTTTGTCCCCCCCTGGAAAGTTAATCGATTTTTTTGCCCCCCCCCTAGAAAGTTTTCTGCGGGCGCCCATGGGTGGGGGTAGTTTATCATTTTTTAATATTATGTTAGATGAGTTGGAGCGGTTGAGAGAAATGTAATCTAACAATTATTTTTATTTGTTTTTTGTTGTTGTTGTTTTTTTAAATTAATTCTTAATTTTGAAAATTTTATGCTTTTCAAATTTACGAAATGGACCGTGATTATTAAAAACTAAAAATGGATTATTTTAATTTTTTGCTAACAATATTTAGCACATTTGGGTAAAAAAAAAAGTTCCTTTTGTTTTTGCTTGAAATTTTTTTATTTAGACTTTTTTTTTTAAAAAACAACTTTTATTCGGCTTGATCATTGATAGGTAATTTTATCCCAGAGTGTAGCCTATTTATTTATTTAAGAATTCAAATGCTTATCATAAGCCACTTTAATTTTAAATAAATTCGTATAAACCTTTAGATTAACTTTATTCATAAACGATTATAAATTTTATGAGGAACTTTTAGAATCGTGTCAGCTTTTTATGTTAGCTTGGCAACTAAATGGTATTTAAGATTTTGATTAACATTCCTTAGTTGCTCCTGCAGGATCCTCTCCCTACCCGCCTACCGCATCTATTGACTTAATTCAACTATTTTTTATATAGATAATGGGGGAAAAAAAGATGGGTCCGTCTTTTAATATTCCTTTTTAATGTTTATAGCTGACAACTTAGTTTTCTATGCTTAGACTGGAGACATTGCGGCAACTACCATCAGAAGTAATCAGAACAGGTTGGCAGGCAAGTTTTTGTTGTTGTCGGTTGAGAGGGTGTGGGTGCATGCGTCACGCCACTTCCAGTGCACCAGATGTGTTTTCGTCTTTTTCTTTATAATTACTTTTTGCAATGAAAATCTCCAATGCATGTCATGACTTCATTATGAAAAAAAAATATTGGCCCTAGGCTGCCAAACATTTTGACGTTTTTTTCCGGTTTTTGCTAGCCCCGGGAAAACGGGAATAACGTTTTCCTCATTCCGGGATTTCTTGGGAAACCCGGCATAAAATTAATTTTATTCAAAATTTATTGAAATCTGAATTAGACTATAAAATAGTTCATTTTTATAGTTGTTTAATTGCTATTGTCAAGTATTGTCTATTAATAAATAAAAACAACAATTTTAAGGATAGTTGATAGTTTGGTCACTTGCAACTTGTTTCTTCATTTTCCACTGATTATCCCTAGTAATTGATATTTAACGAAAAATATGTTTGAAACAAAAGTTGGAAGTAAACGCCCTAAGAAAAAAAAAACAACACTTTATGAGTTCTCTATTCTTAACAGGTCTCTAATTCTAGTTTCGAATCCATTACTAAACATTTACAAGCAAATGCCTTTAACAACTGGAAACATTTGGCAATTGGTTTAATTTCGAACATAAACAATTAGGAATGATAATACATGTAGTTATGTATATTATGTCTTACCATGTTTGTATTGGAAATTTAAAAAAAAAAACTCGACATAATATAAAGGTAGTGTGACACATGAACATTTTGAGATGTTCAAGCTACCTCTAGAGCACAGGTTTCCAGCCAATGGGAGGTGACCTCAGATGGGTTTGGGACTAAATTTTTGGGAAGGTCGCCGGCTGAAACAATAGACTAAGAGATGGGGTGCTTTTAACATAGTTTTCTTTTTTAACCAGTTTCTTAAAGTTAGAGTTAAAATTTCAATCATGACATTAAATATGTCGCCAGTCACATGACCTTATATATGTTGCCAATTACATTATACTGGAAAGTTGTAACATCTTTTTACCATTTTTAAAAGTCCTTCCACCCCCCCCCCTTATGACGTGGTAACCTGTGTACTATAGAGCTAATGAACTTAGTCATTCAGCGCAGTTAACCAGATTTTGCAGGTCTCGGTTTATAGCGACAATTTGTGACAATCTGTCACTTGTTTATATTTAAAACAAGCAAAATTGTATTCTACAGGTGTGTACCCAGGGTTTCTGGGGAGGGAAAAAGTTTCCGGGAAGTCTTTTGTTGACTAAAAATCGTGAGGAATCTCGGGATAGAAAACTTAATTAATTAGAGGAAAATATCATCCACACTAAACAGACTGTCTACACGATGTTCGTCATCGTTCGACCTCCTTAATTCAACGACTGCTTTTATTACCTCAAATATTGGTAGTTTACAGTAAGTATAGTAAAGGTGTACGGAATATTTAACGTGAAAGTTTTCGTAAACCCCACCCCTCCCCCAGTTCGCTACTTTGAACAAATACGATTTATTTAATCCTTTTCAAAAACATTGTGTTAGAAAATGTTTCCTCCACTCCAAAAGAAGTCTTCTTTCATTATCATTTGACGAACATCGTTTAGGGGTTTTTTTTTTTTTCATCTATAACTACAACTTCGTTTTAAACAAATTTAGAATAGAAAGGATTTTTTTAAAGATATTTTTTTTTTCCTATCCTTAAAATTGTGTGTCTTTTGATGAAAGTTTTTAGCAAATCCATTCACGGTGATTGCTTAGTTTTTACGATTTATTTAATCCTTTTCAAAAACATTGTGTTAGAAAATGTTTCCTCCACTCCAAAAGAAGTCTTCTTTCATTATCATTTGACGAACATCGTTTAGGGGTTTTTTTTTTTTCATCTATAACTACAACTTCGTTTTAAACAAATTTAGAATAGAAAGGATTTTTTTAAAGATATTTTTTTTTTCCTATCCTTAAAATTGTGTGTCTTGTGATGAAAGTTTTTAGCAAATCCATTCACGGTGATTGCTTAGTTTTCACGTTGGTTTAAGATAATTCACTACAGCTTGAATGTTTTCAACGAGCATTTTAATAATTTGTTGTAACATTAACTTAGTGCCTTACTATGCGCGGACTGGCGACGTAAGGGTTAATCTCTACTTTACATTTCATATTCCATTTGAGCAATATTCTACTTCTTTATCACCGCGTGGTGTTCAACTGTGATATACAAAGCATTAGATTGTTTCGCTGTGTTTTTGTTTTCTTAATTGTTATTAATCGTTATTATTTGAACAGCGATGTTCTCATTATTATATTTTGTTTAAACTGTTTAGAGATTCCATTCTTTAAGTCTAAATAAAGTAACTCAATTTGTATAACTTATAAACAAAGCTTTTCTTCCTTGATTATGTCAATATTTACTACACAGATTGAGTAGCTTACTCTCATAGTGAAAAAGATAGTGATTTCCCAGCTTTCTAAACATATTTAACACGGGAAATGTTTAAATGAAACGGTGGCATCTTCCTTTTGGTGGGTTGGTGGGGGTCAACTCCTGAATTCAACGTGGAGGTCAGTCAGGGGACTGGGAAAAGCTTCCATCAGTAACAGTCATGGCAGCTTCCTTTTGGTGGGTTGGTGGGGGGGGGGGGAAATCTCGAATTCAACCTGGAGGTCAGTCAGGGACCGGGGAAAGGGTCCATTAGGAACAGTGGCAGCTTCCTTTTGCTTGTATCAGTAACAGTCATGGCAGCTTCCTTTTGGTGGGTTGGTGGGGGGGGGGGGCAAATCCTGAATTCAACCTGGAGGTCAGTCAGGGACTGGGAAAAGGTTCCATTAGGAACAGTGGCAGCTTCCTTTTGCTTGGTTGGTGGGGGTCAAATCCTGAATTCAAACTGAAGGCCAGCCAGGGACTGGGACAAGCTTCCATCAGGAATAGTTGAGGCGACAACATTTGACACATTTGCGTCTATTGCATCTGACCTTTCCCACCACGAGTTCCTGATACCATCGCTGAGTAGTCCTTGCAACCAGTGAAATATCCTCATCAATACCAGGCGCAGAAACATTGCGAATCCCCTCTACAAACATAGGAGCCAGAATGATCAATACATTGCTCGTGGGCCCATAAAATATTTAGAAGAAGAACAAGGTAAAATTATTCCTTCGTCCAGAGCACAAGATTTGAAATGATTTTAACTGTAGACACATAATGAAATCTAATAATAAGGTGAAGCTCGGAAAACCTTTTCATAACTATGGCTCCACGTGATGTCACGTGAAATGCGACTAAAAATCTAGTAAATCTAAATGGCAACTCACATTCAATTCACATTGTTATCCATATTTAAAACAGTTCAAACGGTGGGAACGTTGCCTCCAGGACTCCAATAGTTTATCCCTGGCTGACTCAACTTATTTCATTTGGAACTTTTTCTGTCAGCCCAAAATTGAAACTATCCCAAGTCGGTAATTGACCTTTTCTTTAAGTTGTGTAATATACATTTGGGGGAAAGTTTGTTGTTGTTTTTTTGTGTTTTTTTTTTTTGGGTGGGGGCAGGTATTAAAAACTGGCTGTCATCTGTCAAACTATATATTGTTCGTCCGTCGAGGATCGACGAGGACCATCGAGTCGTCTGGTGACTGATGACCTGCGCGGGTGACTTTGTTTAAAGTGAAGAAGAGTTGTCAAACTAATGTAGTGTTATATTGGTTGCTCATGAGAGTGTCAGGGTAAATATGACCAACTAAGAGTGAAAAAACAATCAATATTTTCCTACTCTACAGATCTAAGAGTGAATTTTCATTGATTTTAAAAACATAACAAAAATGTGAATCTGATCCATGTCTTCCTAAGGATAGAACTGCTAACTGATTCCCCTATGTGTTTGTCTTTTAAGGCACTCTAATGTAAATGTTGGTTAAAGGTAGGTCCGATGATTGCCAAGTAAGACAACTGACAACAACTTAAAATACGTAGCCTATAAATTGTATGTAGTAAGACCAACTGAGAAACCAGTAATAAATATCCTGTGCCTTAACAATAACAGGGTCATCATAGCAGATGATCGATAAGTAAATGACCATTATCGTTATTCTACCTGTTTCTTACTTATCTTTATAGGACATAAAGCCTAATAAATATGCACAGCTGAGGCATATGAGAGAGACCGACGGCAGCTAATGTTGCCCTTTATAATGTATTTTTTCCACTGTATATTTTTTTAACTCACCTTAATTTTACCCAAATTTCGTTTGATCGGGAAAAAGGTGACACTTTAATAATAGAGCGTGAAAAATAAATGGATCATCGATACCACAAATGTCTCTCAATATCGATTCACAGGGACTACATCTGTGACATCGCTCACCTCAAGATTAATGCGCAGTTTTAAAAGTACGAAGGCCCCCGAGAGCTTGCCCTACGAATCCTGCCATGTCGGCCTAGGTGGAATGGAAAGTGTGGGGCTCCGAGTTGGTGGAATGGGGCAGTGGGGTAAAAATGTGGGGTTTTCCGACAAACTTTATATTTCTGTTCATTAGATACATTTAATTTTAGTGCCCCCACCCCCCGCACACATTCACCTTTAAAAAAAAAACACCCTTTATTTCATAAAATCATTTAATTCATAAAATCAATTTACATTTAGGCATATTTTCCAACTAGTGAGCACGTGCATATTTTCAAACCACTGGCACTGTTATAAAGTGTAAAAAAAAAAAAAAATTTTTAAAAAGGTTCATTTTTACCCCTACTATTATAACGGATTTTACGACTCATTCGCTTGAGCAACAATGGCCAAATGTTCACATGTGAAACTTAACCATTCTAAGTTGTTTCGATTCATTTACTAAAATGCATAATGGTAATAAGCAGCACAACTTTTAACATCATGCATCTCCCTCGTCTCAAAACAATTCGAATAAGAGTTCATTTGAAATAGGTCTTGTTGTTTTTGTTTTTTTTTATTTGTGTGTATTAGCAACGGCTGATATTTTAGTTTTATTAAAGTGCTCACCACATAGCTCAAATTTCATTTCACATTGTAGTATGAAGGCTGGGGCCGGCTCTTTTTGTTTGATGGGAGTTGGCTCCCTTACATATGGACAAAATTCAAAGTCTATTTAATCTCATTTTCATTTGACAAAGTCTGATACCACTAAAACCACATACACAGAATAAACATCCTTTTAATGAAATAATCAAGTGTTTCCTCTTTATGGGTCTGCTTGGCTATTCTGTGGGCTAAAATTATATAGGGATGTATTATATTAAATTAGCCAATAGAAAGCACTTTTTCAATATTTAAAATTAACCTTGATGGGATCCCCACAATGCCTTAGGGGACATCCATGCCATAGATGAAATCACGAACCTAGGGGGGAGGGGGTCATGAAATTTTATTGTTGATTTTTAGGAGGTCTAAATCTTGTGTTCGATTTGTGACTAAGGGGCAAGGGGTGGGGGTTCCAAAGCCAGCCAAAATAGATGGGTGTTGTTTGTAAATGGGCTCTTACTCCAAGTAAAGGTACTTGACCTAATAAGATGATTGGTGTTTAACAGATTAAACTTTGTTTTTAATTATTTTTTAAAATTTAAAACAAAAAACAGGTCTACCTTTAAGAATAAACAAATTTTTGCCTTTCAAATCTTCTATAGTAAATTGATAACAAAAACAATTAAGATTTTCCAGTGGGTCTTTAAGATTGATTGGACCCAATGTCAATCAACAAACATACTAAAGCCTGTCCATCAATAGTGTGTATGCAAATTTTGGGACACGTTCAACACATTTGATTTTATTTTTTTTAAAGATAAAACATTTTTACAGAGCTGCCTTAACCCATCAAAAATGCTACACGTCACACAGTCACAGCTTTCACGCAATTTTCACATATCTTGTCACTTGGGAAATAATTATCACAAAATACATTAAAAATACAATTAGAAAATGTGTCTAATAAAACCAACACTGTCTTGGGTGACTTATTTTTAGTCTTTTTAGTAGATGCAAAGAAACTGAAGTACAAAAGAAGCATTGAACTATCATATGAAAACAAAGAGTGATAGCCACCTTACCAGGATATAAATATCTAGAGCAGATAACCCCTATCGTTTGAAATTACAACACTCCCACTTATCCACTCCTTTTCCAAGCCTTTCCCTTCAACTTCATGTACTCAATTAGTATTTGTAAAAGAGAATTAAAATAAAAACTTATAAGTGAATATGAAAATTTTTAGTTCAATCTATGAATCAATAGGACTAGGATAATAAATCCAGAGGAAACCTATGGGGCCATTCAATATTAACTTGTGTTCCTTAGTGCACTAGACATACCATATCAGTTAATAAAGTACAGGTAGTGGCTAAGTTGAAACTCTATTTTTAACACATGTTTTGAAAATGAATTATCCTAAATTTTTTAATTAATTTTATTCCACTCTTCAACAAAAGTAGGCCTAACTGTGGTTAGTTTTTTGTTGTTTTTTAAATAAATGAGAACAATTGATTTGAGTGGCAGGAAATATAAGCATTAAAAAATATCATTGCAGCAAAATTTCATGTTGTCTAAGATGATGGAATGACCTCCCATAAAGCTGACAGTGTAACACCTTCTTTAAGTTTTTCAATGGCTAGACCAAGCTCCTCAGAATAAACAGGCTCTCTGTCATTTTCCTTGTTGCCATCAGCAAAATATGCCTGATAAAATGGAGAAAACAACATAAGAAAAAGATCTAAACACAATGAGAAACTAATGTCTACACCATTAACCCACGAACTGTGGTCTGCCGAAAAAATCCGCAGACTTTCTCGTTCTGTACTGTGACGGCCGTAAAAATCTGCCGATAAACAACATGGTCCGATAGCAACTTCCAATCCAATATTTAACCAGAAATATAGCCACGTCCTTTTATTAATAATTAAATCATCTTCTGGTTCAAGCTGTTTCGTGATAACTTGAAAATAAATACTTTTTAATCAGAGTTTTATATCACTGTTTTTTTTAAAGCTAAAATGGTTGAAATATGTTTGAAAGCTTTTTAGGAGAGGTTTTAAGTGATACTGATGATAATTTTAACATTCCCCATGACGATATCAGTTGATATTATTATTCTCGTGAATTTTATACTAGTCTTAGTGATACTGAAGTAGGCCGACTGAGGCTACTGTTAGACTTCGAGCCAGGTTCGGGGGTTGGGCAAGGACTGACTGAATTTTAGTCACAGAAGCTACATATTATAGTTCAGAACAAATAAATTTTATATTTTAACAACCCAAATCAGTTCCTCAGTTACTTTTTAAATGTTTACTAGTCAATAATACTATTTTGCCTGAGATTTTGTATTTTGTACTTGGTTTTAGCAGTGGTCCCAGTTTCTTATATAAATGACCTAAAATTACTAAAATTGCTTTCAGAGGTTTATTACAATCAAAACCTTAGCAAACTATACATTTTCTTAAAGATAAATAAATTGGCTACAACATTTAGGTTTATTTTTTTAGTGTATCTATAAAAATTAATAATGTTATGAGCACTTGAAAGCAAGACATTTTGTCGATTTTTTTTTCTTGAGAACGCCAAGGTCAAGGACACTGAGCAAATATATTTAAGGGATGGGGAATATGGCCAACTTTAATCCCATCCATTTACCTTTCTAAAAATATATACTTATAGGGGTCTTGTATCAATATTTTTATGTCATTTAATGCAATTTCAAATGGCCCTCAAAACACTCTGAAAAGCTCCACACCACAGAATGATGCATGCCACAGTTCGTGGGTTAAGAATTAATGATTAATTAATTAATCACCCATTCACACCTAATCTTGAGTATTATGAATTTATCTTGATTACAGAATATACATTTTTTATTTGATGTGCTTTAGCAGGTAGACAGGTTCTCTAAAATTGCTTTAACCATGATTTATCATACAGGCCGTGAGGATGATGACCAAAAAAAATTTCAGACATTGAATTCATGCTACAGCTTACTGCAAAAGCATCTGTTTGTCCATCGTACTCCACTTCCACATCATCTTGTATTGGTGTCCTTGTCATCATCTCAGCTGACTGGGGCTGAGAAAAAAATAACCCCTTGTTTTTTCAGTGAGTTATTTACTTATTAGAGAGAGTTTAAAGTAATGCATACATGCATGAAAGATATAATGTGTCAAGAAATTAATTCTAGTACAACTGAATCAATTGCCGGTATTTAAATTACATATTGCTTATTCAAATTGGCATAAAATATACTCTGGCATTAGGATAATACTGATATTTATGATTTTTAGATATAAAATTAATCACCAAAAACCATAAGTATATAAAAAGGTGATGTGACTGAATATAAACCAACCTTCTCATCAATTTCATACTCCACACCAAAGATCGGGCATGAACTGTAAACTCTGTGTAAATTTTGTATCATTTTGGCTGTAGCCTGAAGTTTCTCCATTGGGTCAATACGAAAACCAAGAACATAACCACCACTCTTTTAAAAAAAGTAAAAGAAAATTCAATGAGATGGATAAATTTTGTATTAAATGTTGTATTTTGAGCTCATATTTATTAAGTCTTTACATCAATTTGAGTGGTGGGGGTGCTTAAAATATATTTATTTAACTAAGCTCTTTTATACAAATGAAATAGTAAGAAAGATATTAAAAAATTTCCAATGAACAGACTTCAGTACTTTAAGTAATCATATGGCAACAATGATATAATATGATAGAAGCATTTTACATACCATATGGGTTGTTTCAACAACAAGAGCTATACCAAATTTTGAGTCTCTGACCCTGACAGTTTTCTAATAAAATGACAGAGAATTTTTTTTTGTAAATTTTAGAATAAGATAATGGTTGTTATAAAACTTTAAAAATCCATTTTTCCAACACAAACAGCCTGTGGTAGCCAACTCCTCTTGTTTTACTGATGCATGGGCATTAATTTTTTTTTTTTTTATAAACAATCAAAGGAAAAACAGAAATAATTTTGTAAAAAAGAAATGTTTTGACTTTATTTCTGCAGAAGCATGACACACTTTATTAATGTGATTTTTAAACATAATTTAGCACTCGCTTAGTGTGATTTACTCAACAGGTTTCAAACTTTCCTCACACATACCAGCTAATTTTTTTTTTATTAGACTCGATTCAATAAAAAATTAATGGTGCTCATATTTTATTATTTTTAATTATATCCCATTTCTCTTTCAAATTATAAGTGAGACATTTAGAGAAGAAAGGAAATGAATAAATAGATAAAATAGAGGTCTAAGACATCTATATTATTTAACAACAAATATTGTACTCACCATTTGAAGATAGGGAATGCTAACATTGAAAGATTCATTAATATTAGCATGCCACATCAGTCTGACATTGGTGATGTAGAATGTACCCAAGTTACCCTGCAGAAATTTGATTTAAAGTAATGTAACTACAAATTTTTTATTAGAAATGATTTTATTAAGATGCAAATTTTACAGCTATTAAAAGAGGGAAAGAATATCTGCTCATATCAGTTCCTAATTACTGTTTCTATTTCCAGATATTTAGTCATTGTTAAAATCACAAACTGCTAAGATAATTGACTTGGCCTACCTGATCACTTGACAGATTCCAAACTCCATTAACTTTATCATAGACCTGTTCTTGGGGTAGTAGCCTGATTTGCTTGTCTTTGATTAATGCACCACGAAGTTTTAAGTCTCTGTATAACTTGGAGGTGTCATAAGCCCTTTTTAAAATGGTAAATTAAAAATAAAACGCGCCAGTGGCCATGTTAAAAAAATGGATAAAAATCTAAGTTCAAAATTGTTTAAAAAAATGACCCCAACATAAAATAAAGAGAGGTGGCCATATGGTAAAATTGTTTGGTTCTCAACCTAAAAGTAGAGGGTTCTAAGTAATCAAGCATAATCCTACAGGTAAACAGCTGGGAGAATGGACTCATTTTTCTATGCAAAGTTAGCTGTATTCACACCATTAAAGTTACAGTTACTAACAGATGCTGATTCAAAACATTTTTTTTAAAAATATATCAAGCCAACAAATTAACATGTTCATATATAAATATTTTAAACTTATTAACTCACCTATATACAGATATGATTGATGTGAACAACCTTGGTGAACCCGGTACCTAAAATAACATTCCAGGTAATAGGGAAATAAGCAAAGAAAAAAATAATAAAATAACAAGACAGCTATTAAAGATAAAAATATATAATTAATCTAAAATATACATACCAGCACTTAAAAATTTACCCTTACAGTGATAACTTTGTCAGTTTTTGAACATTTTTTGGCTTGTTTTTAAAAACCTGTCCTGTAAGTTTTGAATTAAAGGGGTGTAATATTTAAAATAATCCTTTACTTTAATGAAATAATAATTTTAAATATTTCATCTCTTCGCTTCAATTTTTTATTTCTAAATTTTAATTAGATCTATTTTACTTACTAGATTAGTAAATATAAATTCAAAACGAGTTGAGCCACATTTAGAGAGTATGTACAGTGCTTCAACAGTACCTCGCAGTTTCTGCAGAATATAAACATACCATTGTACAAATGTTTAAAAAGTACTATAAAAAGTTTGGGATATAAGTAAAATACATTTTTGGCTCCCATAAAAAAATGCAATAGAGAATGATCACATTTATTTAATTTAAATTTAGTTTGTTACATGACACAGTTTTAAATACATCAAAATGTTCAAACAAAGCTTATTCTTTTACACTTACAGACTGTGCTGTTCTTGTTGAGATTGAAATGACACAGTTGAAACCAATTGCTACAAGTAAAAATAAAATAGATTTTAAATCTGCATTTATGATGTAGAAAGGATTTGAATAACTGGTAAATTTATTTGTATCAAAAGCTTATTCTATTATAAAACAATTTTAAAACATATTTTCATGCACTTATGTTGAATTTGTTGACTTTATCTGTGGTTTACAAAATTTGACACCTCCTGCCTATGAAAATATGAGAACTATTACACTGAGAAAATATGAATTATTATAAAATAGTTCATTATCTCTTTATATTTCTTTAAAAAGAACTAGAAACTGAGTTGAGAAGAAATTGTATTAAAAGAATATCTGGATTTTTTTAAGGCAAAATTTAATTTTTATAATGTAATAAAAATTGCCTAGAAATTTAAAGGGCCTTCAATAGTCAGTTAATTATTGGTTGAAAACCAGTTTTCTATGTAGTGGGGCAATGCAATACTGAAATAACTAACACAAAGATCATATGAAAAAAACTTACCATATTTTATTAAAAATTTAAATAACTCACATGTCTCTCAAATACTATATAAAAAATTTGCTTAGTTACCTGACTAAACTCCCAAACAAAAATATTATGTAATACATAAAAAATTCACTCAGTAATTGTCAAAACTTACATAAATTAGCACGAGGCATTTCAATGGAATGCCAGAGAACTCTAAGATTTGTGACCATCAGACGACCTAGAAAATGTTATAGAAAAATTTTTACTTCAAATATTTCCATTAGCTTCTTATGAAGTTCAATCAAATATGTTAATTAACTAATCCACAATAAAAAAAGGTGAAATTGTCTTTATAATCAGAATTAATATTTTAACCAATATTTTGACTGTACAATGTGTTAATCATAATGAAGCAATATAAAATTATTCAAATATTATGATACCTCTGTCACCATTGTTTCCTTTTGTATCTTCTACAGCATCCAGTTGATCAATAAGTTTTTCACCAGGCCTCAGTTTCATTTGACTGTATAAAAAAAGTAATATCAGTTAGTTGAATTTCAATTTTTCTATATTGACTTATGACAATGATTAAACTATATTCTGACTATTATAAATAATGAATAAATTCTGTGAACACAAACACCCATAATTTTACTGTCATTAAAAAATTACCTAAATTTTGTGAATATGACATCAGTTTTAAAGTTATTTACTCAGTACTCAGTCTCTATATTAACTATCTTATATATGATAATGATTTTGGCTAATAATGACTTATGTTGTTTTTTTTATTATGTCCTGTTCCGCTTTTTGAAGTACAGTTCTAAGCAGAGCTTTTGCATAACTTTTGGAGGCCCTCTGCCACTTTTTTTTATTTTGGGGTCCTCTTTATTCAAAATTGATAATTTATTTTGTGTTTGTAATTAATGTTTACTAAAAAGTGAAACATTTTTTTTTAATGTTAAACATTTCAAATTCTCTTAATGGTTCACTCAAATAGAAATACTGTGCTATTAGCGGATCACAAAAGCTTCTTAGGAACACTGTGCTATTAGCGGATCACAAAAGCTTCTATCAATATAATGTAATCAAGCTCAGTAAGATTATTTGAGCCAACTTATTTTTTGTGCTCGTAGTATTTTTTCCCAGCTTTAAAATGCTTCAAATGATCTATTTTCTGTTTTCACTATGTCATTAAAAAAGGACAGTGACTCACCCAACCTTTCATGACAACTGTGCTAATTTTGGTGGCTTGTGTTTTTTTTCAGTGCCAATGTTCAATAAAAATAAAGGGATAAAAAATATGTCTCGTTATATCCTTGCCTGTCCACCACCCAAAAGTAAAAACCCGTTCTTTTCATTGCAAAATAACCAAAAATGCTGCTCCTAAAAATGTGCACACCCCCCTCCCATAAGTTGTTGATTAAATATATAATAATGATAAAAAGAAGTCTGATTTTTGTATTGTTTTTGGTTTTTTTTCCCAATACTTAGCCTTTAGGAACTTCAAATTCAAGGGGCTTCAAGGGGTAAAAATGTGTCATTCGCATGATGACTGGCTGTTATGACAGCTCTTGGGTTTAAAATATTGTCAATTTTCAGAGATTGCTACAAAAATAATCAAATATTTAGCTACTCGTTTCAATTATTCAAATCAATTATTTTTTTTTAAATATTATTTTTTTCCACAAAATTGACAAACTTTGGGCCCCTTAATTATCATATGCCCTTCGCCTTCAGCCTCATGGGTGGAAGGGTCCACTCAACAGCTCTGGTCTTGAGTTTTATTAAATATTGTTAATTGTAAGGTTTAATGCATTAACTATGATTAACATTAAATTAACGCTGTAAGTAAGCGCCCCGGCCATGTTAATGTTCAGGTTGGTCCTAATAATTGACTCCATTGAACTCTACTATCTTCATTAAAAAGTTAAATAATTACTAAATAGTAATATTTTACTACTATAATTAATTCTTAAATAAATTTTATAAGATTTACGTTTCCAAATAAAACAATGGAAACAAATTACTTTGCACTAATATCAAATCGAACGTCTCTATCTTCCCAAAGCTGTTCAAACGCCATCTTGACGCTAGAATGTAGCAACAGATAAACTAGAACTCTTTTTTTTTAAAAAAAAGAAAATATTGAAAGTAGTCTATCATAACGATAACCGTATTTAAAATGCCCCAATTTGTAGCTCACACTTTGTATTAAAACTTCTCTAAATGTCTTCGTCATCTAATGCAGAGGTTCCCAAACTTTTAAATTTGGTGGACCGGTGAACAAGTTCCGAAATTTTACCAGGGACCGATGCACGATTTATTTTTAAACTTTTATAATAAATATTTATGTTATGGGGACCGGCAGCGTTAGGCATGCGGACCGGTGAAGGTCCATGGACCGCCATTTGGTGACCACTGATCTAATGTGTTTATTACATTTAATGTTATTTAGTTTGTTGCTATGCACATTGCTGAGATCAAAAGTTATCCGGTATAGAATATGTTCGCTGCAGTTATGCTTTGAAATTTTATTGCCTTCTTAACATTCCATTCTATGTCCTTTGACCAGAGCATTCAGAGCTCTTACTGTTTAAACCATCAGTATTTTTGAAATATGAATTATTTTGGTTTTGGAATCAAGGTCCAATTCATTTGATTGTTGAAGTAATTTAAAGGAAACGTGCCATAATACAAGCCAGAAAAGTTTTTAAAATGCATGGTTGCTCAAAACTGAAATGTTAAATTTGTTTATGGGAAGGTGACAATACCAATCCTCTAATAAATAATAATAACTAATCTTTTAAAAATAATGATTTCTGAAGCTATAATTGTTTGTTTTTTTTTTAAAGAAGCGTTTCTTCTCAGGGTATCCCGCAATAAAGTTTTGCAACTGAATTGGGTTTTTTCACCTAATCACAATAGTTGGGTTTAAAAATCCCTCCATTGATCATCACTCATTTTTTAACCTTAACATAAAATGTTACCCAATTTTGGGGGAGAACCCGGAAAATTCTAGACTCACGTGTGTGTGGTTTTTTCCTCTCCTAAAATAACTGCTTCATAGTTTTGTTCAGAGTTCACCTAATATTTTCCGATATATCATTTTCTGCTTAAGTTTATAACCATCTTTTTTATTCTCAAGTTTTACCTTTGATATTAACTGCAATGCTTATTTGATATTTTAGTGAAAATACAGCTAATTGTGAAGTGATGTTTCTTGAGTTACTTGCTGGAAGCAAATTTGTTAGATGAAAATAAAGTCAAAAGGTCCCCATAAAGTTTGAAAAATTACTTTTTGAGTCCTTGGGATTGGGTTTTGTTGAAGTATTGAATGGTATAAGATCTTTAAAATAAAAGAATAGAAAGCAATGATGGTAAGACACATGGTTTGGTAAAAAAAATGCAATTCTAACAAAGGGTAGTTGACTCATATTTATTTTCATTTTATAAACAAAATTTAATGGCAAACATTGTGTTTTGAAATATTTTTTTTTTTTACATTCATCACCTCTACACTATTTTAACAGACAGACCTTTCTCACTCAATGCAACAATAACACATGTTTTGTGTCCTGATTTACATTACCAGTTTTTCAATTCAATATATCTTTATTGTTTTTATACGTGACTAAAGAATAATATTAAAAATATTATCTTTGAATATCAGCAAAACTATAACTAGTACTAAAACAATTTGCTATCTTAATTACCTCATGATAATATTGAGTGTTTTGGAGAAAAGTGCAAAGAAATAAAAATTACAAATAAATTAAATATACATGTTTATAAAGAAAAACAAATATTTGAGATCTCATACTTTAACAGTACTGAACAAATAAAATAGTGCTTTTTTTGCAAAAGTTTTTGAATTAAAATTCATATTTCAGCTGAAGAGTCATAAGTTAATGTCTATCTTCCTATGAGATTAATAACTTTGTTATATTTGTCTTCAAGTAGTTGGTCATTATACAATATTAGAATTACTGTTTTAAGAGTACATGATCATTAAAAAGCAAATATTTGAGTTATTTTTGGAAGAGCAATAGGTTTACACCATGAAAGTAAAAATTTAAAGAGATTTAAAACTCTCCAAAAGCTGTATCTTTTCTTCATTTTTTTTTTTTGTCTTTCAGTCTGGAATAATAGCATATAATTTTTTGGTACAATTAGAAGATATTCAAACTGACATGTATAGCTGAAATGCTTTTGAAAAATAAAATGGATCAAATCATAAGCCCAATAAAAACATGAGTTGTTAACTGAAATCAGGCACAACAACAGTACAACAACATGACACCAAATATATATATTTGAAGTTGAATTAGGTTATGTAAACTTTTTCATCCTTTCTCTTTTTCTGCACTACAGTTCCTGGCTTGTGCTGGGCTTCAGGATGATTTGCCAGTTCAGGTGGGCAGGATGAGGCAGAGCTTTGTAGGAGGAGTTGTTTTAAGTCATAGAATGTTGCGCTGTCCTCCTTTGTAATGAATGTAACAGAAACACCTTCTTTTCCAGCTCGACCAGTTCTACCAATACGATGAGTGTAATCTGAAACAGAGGTAATATGTTTTGGGTTATGATTTGGAGATGTAGTTCAATTTGTTTAAACCATGAAATCATGTCCTAGCGTATTAAACTTATCCTTTTAAGAATTAAATATTTAGACAACCTTTTTAACTATAATTTAAAAAATAAATCTGTTGGGTGTAAAATTCCACATGCATCTCATTCCAACTATTAAACATGATCCAAAATTTAAAAAAAAATCTTTTAAGATCATGATTAAAAAGAAAATTTAAATAACCCTTTGAAATAACAGTAGTAAAATATATATTTTTAGTTAAATTAATGAAAAGGTCACAAATTTAGCTGATAAAGTTGCAGTTTGTTCGTATAAATCCACATACCATCCATGTAATTATAGGGTAAAATAAGGAAAATGTAACAATCATTCATCAAATCTAAAGACAGCCTACCTTCAATATTTCTAGCCATATCATAGTTGATGACCATAGAAACATCCTTGATGTCAATACCACGACCAGCCACATCTGTTGCCACAAGGATCTCTTTAGTGCCCCCCTTAAGACTAGCCAGGGCGAATTCTCTCTGCTCTTGGCCTTTGCCACCATGAAGTGTACAGGCATTGAACTGAAACAATTTAGAGGTGTCATAATTAAGTCAATTTCAATAAACAGATCTGTTATTAAAAAAGTTATGTTAAAATGCTACAACTAGTCATGAAATTAACTAAATTCTGTATTATATAATCTGCTTTACCCCCATTTTTTCCAAAGATTTTGCCAATACATCTGCTCCTTTCTTCTGGTTAACGAAAATGATGATAGGCGGATCAATACCTTTATTGAGCACATCAAGAAGTTTTTTCCTGAAAAAAAAAAGTTTAAAATTTAGTTAAAGAACTAATGAAACTTTTGCAACAAAAACAAATACATTACATTCCACATTTTATTAAGCTTTCCTTTCAATAAATTACAAACATATTGTTATGATCTTAAAACAAACCCATGTACAATTTCAGAGGGTTTATTTTAGGAATGTTGATATTTATCTACTACGTTACTTTAAACAAAATAACAATTAAATAAGCACATAATTGACAAAATATAAAGTTGAAAAGGTAGTGGAACCAACGTAACAGCTTGATGGTGAATATGACTGGTCTATCCTGACAGGTCTATCCTTATAAATTTTCAATAATATAAACATTCATTAATTTTAATCCCCCTCATATAATCAGAAATACAAACCTCTTTTCATTTTCTCCAACCATGTAAACAATCTGTTCGACTCTGTCAACAGGTTTACCAATATTACCAATGTACACCACCGTTGGCCTCCTTAAGAATGTCCTGGCGAGTCTTTCAATTGTCGGTGGCATTGTGGCCGTAAACATGACAGTCTTTGAAAATGTTTAAATTCATTAGATTGTAGCTAGTGGTTAAATAATTTTTATTAAATCTAATTATGAAATTTAAATACCAAAATGACTGACTAAACAATAAATTTAAAAATTAAAAAGAGGACCAAATAAATTTTTAAATAAATTCATAAATAATCAGCTCCTTGTAAAAATTTAACTTAGCCAAGTAGATTGTTATAAAAATGTCATATTTGTAAAAAAAAAATTTTTAAACTAATGCTAACAACTTTCATGTATAATATGTCTACTCACTTGTCTGTACTTCTTTTTAGAATTAAAATTTCGGAGCATAACTGAATCATCTTCTGCTTCCTCTGTGTCAGGTTTCTCATTGGTCACTGGCAGATAATCAAGGATCTTGCGGACTTCAGGCTCAAAACCCATGTCAATCATTCTGTCTGCCTCATCCATGACAACATATGTGCACTGATTAAGCACTAGGTATCTGTTTTCAAGTACATCAATAAGTCGACCAGGAGTTGCAATAACAATCTGAAATAGTAAGTGATGGGTTTTTACACTCTGCAAATACTTCAGAATAAATGTTCTAAGTAATAAATAAAATAAACTTTAAATACCTAATTGTAATTAAAATGCTTTATTTAAATCAATAAATTACATATTCAATTTAAAACTTTATTTCCATCTGCAAAAAAAATAGCATCATACCTCGCAGCCCTGTCTGAGTTTAAAACCTTGCTCCTCTCGAGATATACCACCAATGATGGATACTGTTCGAAAGCCTAAATTTTTTCCAAACTTTATAGACTCTTCCTCAATCTGCTGTGCCAACTCGCGAGTGGGTGCAAGAATGATAGCATAAGGTCCTTGGTCAGCATCTTCCATTCTAAAGATGAGAAATAATTGTATTAAATTTAAAATACATTCCAAATTAATAAAAACAACTAGAACACATAACATTTATTATTTTCAGAAGCCACAGAAAATAGTTTCAAGTCAGAAATAAACCAACATGATTGAAGAAAATTGCAAAACACTCTCTGTAAATGATCCTTGGTCGGTTTTTCAGTATATCTATCTTTACAGATGTGGATCAGCCCTTGGATCACTAATCTTTGATAGTAAATTTTAATTTATATCTAAGATTTAAGGTCAACCTATTTTTTTAAACTTAATGTGAAGTGTTTCAGGGAGGCTTTCAATAGAACTTTCATTACATTCTTTTGTTTCATAAAAATTAGAATTATTTTTCTAAAACACATAACTTTATCTAAGCTTTCAAGAATTCATAAATGTTTCTTCGAATTTAAAAAAAATGTTATCCTATAACTATACGATAATGTTTTCATTTTAACAAATTATACATTTTTTTTTAAATGGTGAAGGCTTTTAATTAAAATCTCGAAGTTTTTTCTTTTTTATTTTAAGAGAAGCAAATCACTACTTTTGCACCTGAACCCTTTTCTTAAATTATTTCAAACTATGATAAAGATTAAACATTAATTTGTATTTACTGCCACATTTAAGTAATATTTTCATTTTGAAATTTTAAGACAATGAAATCATTGTAGTGATGAATAGGAAAGGTGTTTTATGTGGAAAAGGTTACCACAGGAGGAAGGTTACTTTTAATAAAGACTATTGTCTCAATGTGATAGCAGGTGTAAGCTGGGAAAGGGGATACTAGCCCCCATCCCCAGTGAATCAGCCAACGATGCAACTTTTTATCAAAAGTTAAAAGCTGTTTGTTGAGATAATTAAAAATTAAATTTATTCTTGTTACCAAATTATATCTAAATAGTAGATACTATAACATTTGATATTAAAAAGAACAGAAATTCTTGCTCTGTCAATAACTGCAGATGCCTGATTTGAAAAATTAATTTATGATAACAAAACCTACTTTAAAAATAAAATGAAGACACTTAAAATAATTCATCTCCCATTATTTAAAGCTTTACCAAAAATCTACTACCCAAATATGCATGAAATTTACCTTTCAATTTTAGGAAGTCCCATAATCCATTTCAGAAGGGGAATTAGAAAAGCAGCTGTTTTACCACTGCCAGTTTCTGCAACACCAATTATGTCACGATTTTGAAGACCAATAGGAATAGCTTGCCTTTGAATTGGTGTTGGTTCCTATAGGAATTTTCAAAAACAATGCCAAAAATATAAATATTATCAAAATCATTATAGGAAAATTAAGGAAATTTCAAAAATAAATTTGTAAATCATACTTAAAACTATGATGTCCAGGGTAAAAAATGTCATATTAATCTAGTTAAATTTACGGGACAAAGTAGCATGCTTGGAAATGAAGGGTCAAACAAGGTTGGAAATATTTCTTCATTAAGACGTCCAAAGGGCGTATCCGACCCATAGTTTCTACCCCTGGGACATAACTTTATGAGTCATTTTTTATTTTGTTTTACGAGTTGGGCATTGTGGAGAATAAGGAATCAAACAGGTTCATATTTTGGATATTATTCATATTAAACTTAAATTACCTTATAGCCAATTTCATCAATAATATCCAAAAGTTCTTTGGGAAGATCAGCTTCTTTCCAGAAACGGATAGGGTTAGGTATTCTACCACCTTTACAACTTATATTAAAGTCTTCTTTGAAGATACGCCAATCCCTCTCAACCATATCTTCCAGAGGTTTCTCAGACCAATGACGATCATCCCACTTTTGTTTAGCTTCTCGTGATGCCACAGATTTAAGACGTTTCCTTTGGAAAAATCATTGCAATTCTCTATTTTGTGAAAATAATAATATAATACTATATGTTTTTCACAAGATCAATCATCTCTTTTTTTTCCCAAATAATCTGATCTGCATCATTTAAAAATAAAAAATGTAGTACCTTTTTTGTTCAATACAAGAGAGAAAGTTATTATTTTTTTTATTTTTTAAAACTATTATCATACTTTTCTTGATCTTTTTCTGCTTCTGTTCTTCTTTTTTCCATAAGATCACCATAAAACTTTGATTGGTCCTTCTTCTGAGCCTTTAAGAAAATATTGGTATTACTTTTTAAGATCTCAATATTATTGATAAATTATATCAAGCAATATGTACCACAAGGGTTTCATTTTTCATAAAGATATTGATAAATTATATCAAGCAATATGTACCACAAGGGTTTAATTTTTTATAAAGATGTATCAATTTAGAAGATTTTTATTTTAAAACCAAATTTAATATTGCCTTTGAAATGGATAATTTAAGATCACAATTTTAATTGTCCATTCACTTTTAAAGATAAAAATATTATTTAACCAAGGGAAAGTGAGACTTCCTCACCTTTATATCTATCCCGGCTATGTTTCCTCTTCCAAAAAACTGAACCGTGTGCTTTTCCTTGTACAGTGCATTGTAATCATTTGAAGTGTCATCACCAGCATCCCAGTCAAAAACAAACTTGCGATCATTGAGGCGCCTAATTCGTTTACGTTTTTTTATAATACCCAGGTAGCGCTCCTGCAACATATTTTTTTTTTTTTTTAAATTCTGGCCTAACATAGGATAATATATAATAGTTCTGATATTATTTTGTTTTTGACAAACTAAATTGCAACTGTACTATACAAAATACTACTAATTTAAAAAATTTCTTTAATTGCTCACCCTAATTGCCTCAGCTTCTTTATCTTTGTCTTTAACATCTTTCACTTTTGGAGTCCTGTCTTCCCCAACGTCATCTCTGTCATTCTTTTCTCGCCTCATTTGTCTTTCCCTGCGCTCTCTTTCTCTCTCTCTGTCACGATCTCTGTCTCTATCCCTGTCCCTATCATCTGAAAATATCAGTAGAAAATAATACTTAAACTCTAAGGTCCATATAAGTGAGGATGTATTGATTCCTTGTTGAAATTTTACATGTATTATTTTAGAACACTTGATAACGATTCCACTGAAATTTTAACTTAAACTTATGCTTATAAGTATTTCAAATGAGTGTAAGAAAGTTTACCCATCGAATCTTTTCCAGCTTTTAAGAATTCTATTTGTTTCTTCCTCTCTTCATCAAGCTTCCGCCTTGTTTCATCTGCAGCTTCCTGTCGCTTGCGTAATGCTTCAGCTACACGTTCTTCTTTTGTCAAAAACTTAGGCTGTAGAATTAAAATATTCCAATTATTTAATACATAACTTGTCTAGGGTAAAAGATAATCATAAAAATTTTGTCTCCCCTTTATTTTAAATTTTGATGTGATTGCATGCACAAATAATTATCTAAAGCATGTACTGTTATTGTTAAGACTCAAGTTTTCTCATTAAAATCATGACAATTTTGAGAAACTACAAGTAGATTCTTGCATAAAATTTAATATGATGTGCTTCGTCAATATTGAATTATCCTTCTCCTACAATTACCTTGCTTAGAGCAGCTTCTTCAGCCTTTTTCTTTGCCAGAAGTTCTTCTAAGGAAAGAGGCACTTTTTTCTCCAACTTCAGTTTTTCTTCTTCTTCTTCCTCTCTAGTTAACCTGAAAGACAAAGTCAAATAGTATTAAATACTTTTTTTTTTAATTTGAAAAATATATTTATCATAAATCCTTTCTTTTATATTATTTTGAGCCTTTTGGGAAAATTTGCGAATATTAAAAGAAAAGAGCATATTTTGAAAAAAAGTGCTGACTTAACTCTTGAGGTACAAATAAGAGAAAAAAACTATATATTTTAAATCAAACTGACTGTTTTCCATCTCTTGACTTTGGTGATCGTGATCTTTTTCTCTTGCTCTTATCTCTTTCTCTACTCTGACTTCTGTTTCTTTTTTTCTCCTTACTTCTGCTACGTTTTCTGTAAGGGATGTAGATGGTCATATGGTTAGTTAACTAAAATGTATAATAATTAAAAGTTTATTTACGTTTTCACTAATTATGGCAATACATTTTAAATTATATTATTTAAGATATTATCTTGATAAGGGATTAAATTTTACAGCAAAAATAATTACCAGTAATACAAATTCAAAAGATATCAGTTATTTTAAACAACTAATACAAAAGCAAGGGTTCTTATGAACATTACCTTTCTCTGCTTCTTGATCTATGTCTTGTCTTATTTTTGTTACGCTCTTTAGAACGCGATCTTTCTCTTCGAGATTCTTTTTTTCTCAAGTCATCATTTTCAACTTTGCTGTCCACTTTCACTGGACTGCGTGAACGAGAACGAGCTCCAGGACCCATATTTCCTAAAATAATATTTAGGAACATATATATACATCGTCAATCAGCTATAACCAAAAGTCGATTGTTCTATTAAATGTACCAGGGAATTTTCATGAATCTAATGGTCAAGATGAGTGGCTCTAAAATAAATTGGTACATTGCACCCCCCCCCCCCCCCCCCTCTGGCTTCATAAGCTCATTTTTAGCACCCCGTAGTTGCCATTTTTATGGCTAAGAATGGGTTTTAAAATGGTTAATTCTACATTTTTTTTTAAATTTTTTATTGGACATGTTAATTTTGAATTATATGAGGTAGGCCTACTCCTCTAGCTTTGACACCTTTGCCTTAGCTGTTACAAATAATCTGGTACTATTATTATACTGGTAAATAGTTAATTTTTAATCTAAAAAATTAGAATGACAGTTTTGGTGTTATTTTAATTAATTGACTTCATTTTCTTGCAATAGCACAACCTTGGAGCTCAGCACTAACGTATTAATCATAATTGCCTTTTTAAAAACTTATCAATGATATCAAGAATAACACTGACAATACAGCGTTAAATAGCTTGTAATAACAGCTGACACTTCCTTTGGACTAAATAGCTTAAGTTTCAGTATTAAGTATAAAGTAGTAAACATTCAAAATTCGCAATTGAGAGTTTAGGCTTTAATTTTATTACCAGCAGTCAGAGTTTAATCATTAATGACTTGCGCAAGAATTCACTGAGTTCTTTAGCAAACATCTATTAAATATAAATAGGCTTAGGGTCATCCATAAGCAACGTCACATGTGAATTTGTGATGATGTGTCATAAAAGTGTCAATTCTTGTTACAAATTTGGCCAAAATAGTATGTCATTTATGGGTGGCTCTAATTCATTTATTGACAATGCAATGGCAATGAAAATGAATGAAATAAAAAAAGCAAAACCCTGCCTACATTGTATACAGGCATGGTATCCTAAGCAGTGACTCTAACCAAATTATGATAATTAATTGATTAATTTAATTATGCCATGAAATTTGAATTATCACCATAAGCGCTAACGAATCTGATTCTCAAACTTTATAGTTGATCACTCAGTTATTTTTATATATTATTTATGATTGCTTTTGTCAGGGCTCAGATGATATTTAGTTATTGACTATCCCATTTTTGGCTATTCAGGTTTTAATGTAGCCATTGTGTAGCATACTCAGAATATTTGATACTCTCTTATTTTAGTGTATTAAATTAAATGTCATTGTCGAGTGCATATCATCAAGTGTTTTAAATGAAAAATTCCCTATTTACCTGATGGAACTACATTAACACTCTAAATATTTAATAGAACAAGGTTTTATTGTTTTACAATTAGTTTTTATGTAGTTCTGTTGGTTTTAAAGGGATTTTGATGGGCAATGTTTTTTAAAAATCAGTCAATTGATAACATTTTGTGGCATTGTCTATTCAGCCCATGCGTGGCCAAATTTTTCACTTTTTTACAGTCTCAGACCAAATTAATATTCATACGATAAAAATAAGTAAGATATGAGGTGTTTAAATTAAATAAAAGTAGCAATAAAAAATAGAATTGCTGTTTTCTCGGATACTACTTTTCAGTTAAGTGATATTTTTATTTAATTCTGTTTTTACTATTGTTTGTTTGCTGATGAAGGCTTCCTGCCGACATGTACGTTGTTTTGTTGCGTTCATTTTTTTTTTGTTTTCCCATATTTTGTTTCACTCATTTCCTTTCATGCTAACCTCATTGGTGTCTCTCTCCTTTGTTACTATGTTTCGGCATACTGTAAATCTACTGTTACAGCATACCATAACACAATTGTTACAGTTCAGCTAGGGATGAAGAAGAATGTCTCAGTGGGTAAGTGAGGGTTAGTTTAAGGCAAGATTTTTCCCCACATTACCATGAAATTAAAAAAACTCTTCAGTTGATCCAAAATGCAGCCCTGCCATATAGAGAAAAAAGTGCAGCTTAGGGCGGCTGGCCCTCCTCCGCAGCCCCCTTCCTATGCAAGTGGAATGACTTTTTCTAAACAGTTGTGGACAGAGAGGTGTACCAGGGGTTAATGGCTAACATAGATCAGCGGTTCCCGAATCCCGTCGGTGGTGCGCAGAAAATTATTTAGGTAAGTATAATAATTATGTCTTCGCAATGACGATTGAAAAAATTATGAATGTAGTGCATATTTTTGTAGCTCCAAAGTAGATGAACTTTTTTAATTAATGTCGTTTCGCATGACCTCAGCATACAAAAAGCTTGGGGATCACTGATGTAGATTAGAATTCTCGTTATGACGACAGACTCTGCTGTATGTTCAATGAGTGATTGTTGGGGGGGGGGGGCTTGTCGGGGGAATGGAGGAGGGGGGTGTGGGTGTTCAACATAAGAGGTCTCGTTGCATGCCACAATGGTGCTGTTAATGATAATGCTGATACTGAGATGACAAAAGAATGCATGAAATATGCTTTATCTCATCTGTCTTGTAGTACTCATACTATTTGTTTAATGGTTATTGATGTTGTATTCAAACAAAAAGACAATCTTTTACTTTTAAAATTAATCAAAATTCTTTAATAATTAAATAAGTTGAAATTAAATAAGAAGACTATACTACTATGAAAGAAAACACACAAAAAACGCTATTTAGCCTATTTATGCCATTTGCATTTGGCATTGAATTTAAAGTTAAAGCAACAAAAGGCTGGTCTACCGTTCCAGTATTAAACAGAAACTCATCCCTCTCCCTTATAGACAGCGACAAGGCCATGACAGGCAATTCCGGCTCATACCAGTAAGAAGCCAGTATAGGAGCTGCTCATTCCTGCCCAAGACAATCAGGGACTGGAACAAGCTTTCAAAAGGAACAGATGAGGCGGCAACGTTAGACTCATTTGTGTCTATTGCCTCAAGCCTTCTAACCCCTAGTGTATGATTCCCTCACAAAGTGGCACTGGAAATCAGTGAAATGTCCTCATCAACACCAGGCACAGAAACAGTGCAAATCCCCTCTACATGCATGCAAAGCAGCCAAAATGATCAATAAATTTATCGTGGGCCCTTAATATATAGAAGAAGAAGAAGTCACTTCTAAAAATGATACTAAATCGTCAAAATTACTAAATGATTGAGTAAATCACACTAAATCATAACTAAATGATAAAAATAAATGACATGATCATGATATCTGAATCTGAATGACATTAATTATTAATATTATTCAAGTCATGGTGATAAATTTGATGATAAATTGAGACTAACCTAGACCTACAAAAAATTCAATTATGTTTAGAAAATTTAATTATGATATTGTGCTCTTTATTTTATTAATATTCTTTATTATATAAAATAATTGTTTTAATTTCAAACTTCAGTCTACACTCAAGAAGAATAAAGCCAAAGCCCTATATAGGCCCCATACGTACAATTAAAGCGTCTTGAAATCGTATTTTTACAAAATAATACAAACAGCGGATGTACTGGAACTAGAAGTGAAAAGAGTGCTATTGAGCCCGTACAGTGTCAACTTTTTAATACGCGCGTTACTATCACCGAGATTAAGGATGCTCTTTGCACAATATTCAGGGCTGTGCGAAGGGCGGGGCTGCCCCGGGCGCCAACATCAGGGAGACGCCAAAGTCGTCAATCATTCATATTTATATATACAGAACTTTATCCACGGACGCCATTTCAGTTTTTTTCAGAGAGAGAGAGAGAGAGCCTTCAGAGAGGGGGAAAAGGGGGNATTGAGGGGGGGTGGGCAAATGCCCTACCCAAATGATGTGCCTGCCTTTATCACTTTATTATGAATTTGGAATAGGTTGAGGAAACAAGCAACAAAAGAATAAATAAATGGGGGGGGGGGGTGCGTTTCTAATTTTAGGATTCGCTTCTGGAGCTGCTTTTCCTTCGCGGTGCCCTGATATTTTAAAGTTTAATTTATGTAGGCCTATTTATTATATTTTATATCTAAAGCATAGCTGGTCCAAAAGAAAATCAAATGATAAAGTTGATCTTTCGATGTAACGTGTGTGTAAAATTAGGCATAGGGCTATTAGGAGGCATAGTTCTATTAGTGGAAAAAATGGCAGTAGTGCAAATGAAGTGTATTGCATTACTGGTAGCCAAAAATGTGTACCTCTTAAGTCTGACCACTAATATGTTACATTAAGAAATGGCGTCAGCAGGGCGAGTCTAGACTCTTATGCCCCCCCCCAAATTACCCCTCCCCCGGTCCGACGTATCGGGCCGCGGAGCGGCACGTTGGAGATGCCCACTCGTCAGGACGGCCCCCACACGGGCCCCCCACCCAAGTCCCCCGCCTGGGCGCTTGACCAGGACCCCGCCTGGGGGCCGCCCCAACCAGAAGGCACCCGGTCGATCCGAAACTATGCGTTTAAATAGTGCACTCGATCGACTTTCTCAGGAGTTGGGATGGAAAAATTTACGTCCTAATATCTTCCCCCACCCATCCCGGGAAAGCGTCGGACGCCCTATAAGAGGGATTCCACAGTGGGCTTCCACAACGCAACTAGCTCACGCTGTAGCTGGGACGAAAGGGTTGCCTAGGGGCAGCGTTCTCACCACTGACCACTGAAATGTCTGGAGTAGTACCTGGTGAGCAGATGGAAACTTTTTTTCCCCCGTTTTGACGTGCAGTAGAATATTTATTTTTAAAATCCTTTATAATAATATTAACTTCGCTTTTGTTCGTGGGTGGCTGGTGAAATCTTCGGAGGGCTAATTGACCCATTACCCATCAACTTATAAAGCTGAAACTTGGCACATAGACTCGTTGCCAATGACAACACATTCTATCAAATTTTCAGCCCTACCCCTCAAAAATCAGTTTTTCCCATTTTTCAAGGGGATGATGAAATAAAATTTCAGATTAGAGTCTAACTACGCTAAATGAGATTTTTTTTAAAATATCGAAGTGCGTTATAATTTCTTGTAAACTAAATCTGCGATGGAAAAAGCGGGGTGCATCATTAAAATATTAATATAGTTCAGGGTCATGAAAAAATGTGCGGATCCGAGCCTAGTTTTTTTCAAATCTTCAGCCCCAGCCCCCATTGCCCAATATTACATTTTACATTTGTTTTAGGGGTTGTTTAAATTAAGGTCAAAGTAAAATCTTCATTGGCTAATCATTTAAACTTCTCACTTAATAAGCCCAGTTTCAACATTTTTTCCCCTTGATAGCTAAATTCCATACTTACTTATGCCTTATACCCCATCTGGAGCAAAGGTCGTCTACAAGAAATATTCTTTACCTTGCATATAATAAAACAACTTACTTCTAGAAAAGAAGTTACTTTTTTGTTGTTGATGTAATTGACCAAACCATTTAGTGGTTTTTTTTTATTAATGATACTAATACACTATTGTATCAGATTATTCACTTTTATTTTTAGGCTACTTGGGCCTAAAACATTAGTGAACCTAGGAACAAAAAAACAAATTGTTCCACTGAAAATAAACTTCATTATGAGTAAGATATTTAAAAACTGCTCAATGATTCACATTAGCATACTCAGATAATTACTAATTTTCACATTTAAATATTGCAAATTAATAATGATTAAAACTATATTTTCATCAATAACACTCATTCACTTAAATTTAACAGAGTTGAGCAAAATTGTTTTCTTTATTTGATTATCAAGCCTCAAATCATTGTGTTCTCCTTCAATTAGAGACCATGGAAAAAAACTATTAACAACAACAAAATTTTTTCTTATTTTTAAACATTCAAAACAATAGCTTTTATTTTTAGATTAACTTCAACTTTAATTCCTATATATAAAGAGGTAGGTAAATATCGATACGTTCATAACACAATATAAGATAAGTATTTTATATTTTGTTTTTCAAAGTTTGAATAATGGCTAACTGTAATGTGTGAATTTCTGTCAGTAAGAGGAATAACAAAATCAATGTCAACCAAAATTTGCTTGGAAATATTCATGGTCAAAACTATTGAAATTACATATATAGAAACTGTCCACCATAGCTGAACACTCTTCTTGCAAGAACAACACTTCACAAACTTTGCTGGTTACACAAGCCATGTCAGTCTTATGTAGTGTTTCAGTGAGTTTCACTAAGAAGTGCATGTTGATCTGTATCATGTACTTTGTTATTACTTCTGATAAGGGATTTTTATATAGCTTATTAACAATAACAGGCTTCCAGTTTTTAATTTTCTTAAAGTGTGATCATATCAAAACTGAATGATAGTTCTCAGCTGAAACAGTTCTATACATCATTTAATGGTCCATAGTGACACTTAAGGACCTAAAGTGACCAGTCAGCATATCAAAATTTTAAAACATGTGCATACAAGTATGGTAAAATATTATTTATGGAAAAATATTACTTAATCTTTTAGCATTGTGACTTCTTCAGCAGACATTAAAAAAAAATCTTTTATTTTTTTTTATGTATTCAATAAATAATTTAAAATGAGTAACGGTAATAATAATATTAATAATAAAACAAAAATTCAAAAGGAAATAAGTCACAGAGCCCCAAAATAAACATAATAGAACAGCCAAAAAGATTATCATAAATAAATCTTTACCATACTTGTGTACATACTGGTAAACTATGTGTATCTTTTAATCCACCAAAACATTATACGGTCTGACCATCTTCTTTTTAATTAATATAAACAGCCAAAACACACTTTGTAAGCACAAAATTAGTAGGAGGCATCACTATTGCATTAGACCTCACAATAAGGACCAAATATCTATGACTGTACAAATTAGTACCGTAAACTAATAATAATATAAACTTAAATAACATTTTTGATATTAAAACAATTTTTTTTTAAAAAATCAACAGCTTAGGCCTTTCAACATATCTTGAAAGGGCCGTGTGAATCTATAGTAGTTTAGCAGGGCACATGCGTCATAGCCGGGTGGTTGCTGGCACAAATGCAATGGGTGGGTGGAACTGACTCATCAGCCCAGCGAGTTGGCAATTCTTGGGGAAGAGGAAAATATATAATGCTCAAACAAATAAGTTTGCGAAGGGATTCAGAACATGACTGCCTCGACAAACCTGCCTGTCTGCAATATCCCTTTGCAAAAAAAAAATGAAAGTTGTCAAATGATTTTTAAAAAAAGGTGTTATGAACACAAACCAAGTATGTTCTGTAACATACTTTATTTAAAGTACAATTACAAAAACTTCTTGCTAGCACAATAAATTACCCCAGTGAAAGATCACAGATCCTAGTTGGGGAATGTAAAGATGTTTGAAAAAGAACATCTTTGAAGCTCCTGAAGGGAAACTATTTGAATATGATAAGGAATGAAACTGTAAAATGAAAGACATAGCTAAATTGGCTTTCAACTTAAATTATATATATCAGCCTGCTGCATATTTGATTTAATTATTTATTTACAAGTCTAATCAAAATGCTGCCTAAATAAAACTGTGAAAATATAACAACAGAAATATTTTAATTACAGCTTTCTACAACTTAAAACAAGTTCAGATGATTGTAGAAGCTTCATAAAATAGGCTGATTTGAATTCTCATCCAAGTTGACTTCCATAGAAAATATCACCATTGACTGATGTCATAATTTAGTTCTAAAATTTCCTGAAATGAAAATAGAGTTCATGATATTTACAAACATTTTAAAAAAATTATCCAGAGGAAGGGTTCTTAACTCTTTGACTCCTACAAGCCAACTCTACATACTTTCTGAGTTTCTATCCCATAAGCCGAATGTAAGGGCTTACGATCTAAAGATAATTTTGTAAAATGCTGAAGCTGTGTAAAGGTTGTTTTCACCTCACTTTGTCCGGTGAGCCATTTAGCTTTGTGATTCAGTAAGCTGTTTTGTTTTTACAGCCGATTTCATTTTTATTGATTGAACTTTCAAGGACCTACCTATTCGTCTATTTCTTACTTGGAGCTAAAACTAATAGAAAGAAAACTTTTAATTTAAATCAATTTTTTTATCGTAAAAGTCACCCGGTCTCGTAAAATCGTAGTTCTGACAGGTGTCAGTGTACAATAGTAAGAGTTGTACACCAAAATGGTAAGAGTTAACGGGTCTGACATGGTATACATGGATAACAGACTGTGATAATATCATAGTTGCAGTCAGGATGAACATCTATAGATATAACTGTCAATGAATATGATTAAACTACAGCCTATCATCCTGATATTGATCCTAATTCTTAACTGGCATTAAGATCTTTTATTTTAAAACCATTGTGAAAGGGGAAAATTTTACTAAGGATAATGAGAATAAGATTAGGTTAATATTTATTGTAACTTTGCTCTGATTTTTTTATCCTGTAGTGTGTTTTACGAAAAAATTTGAAAACCATTTAATTTAATTTTTCATAAGATTTATTATCAGTCTGACAATGATAGGAGTGATTTTTGGAAATTGATGAATTATAAACTGGTGGTGTTTTGCTGATGTTTTTACTCCAATTTTTATTTTTTAAATAAATTATGCACTCATTTTTTTTTCTTCAAAATTTTGATTACATATCTAAAAGAATTGATATTATGTTCCCCTTCAGGTCTGACATTTATATTAGGCTCAGGTAAACGAAAATGTGATTTGATGGTATTTATAGAAAATTAACTCAGCCGTTAAATATTTTGCTAAAACGAGAGTAATTATTTTTTTATCAAACTAAGAAAATTTGAAGATTTATTGAATATACTGTCTGTGTAGAAATTATTTTGTTATTTGGTTGAAAAATTGTTAAAATAAACCTATAATAATTTGACATTTGTGAATTATTTTTTTTTTATATATCTATTTTGTCTGTGCCGTTGTCAACATAATTTTTTGTATATTCCAAATTTGTATCAATCATTTTATAGTAAAAGATAATTTCAATTTTCATTCCATTGATATAAAAACTTGATCTCTTATTTTAATGCCAGGATATAGATTTAATTTTAACAGTGATCTTGTTTTTGTTCTGTGTCTGAAAGTGCTTAGCAAAACTGTGGAAATACCACTTGGGATTCTTAGAGTTAAACTCTGTTTTCCAGTTCCCCACAAATTTTAATTTGTGTTAACTTTGGTAATAAGCTACAAGATAAAAAAAGTATGCATGCAGGTATAATTAAGCACTTGAACCATTAAATTATCATCATATGGGTAGCTTGTAGGAGTTTTTAAGGTTTTTTCAATGTTCACATCATATCATCAACATTGTTGGAGAAAATAAATAAAAGAAAATGAACTGTGCAGTAATCAATCTCATTTAAAAAGAATTATTCTAGTTAAGTTACTGTATGTAACATATGATCGACTATTTGAAGTCAAAGACATTTGGTTTACTAGAATTTTGGAGATAATTTGTCAGCATTAAAATGTATATTTCAGTTGCTCCAAAGAAAATGAATTAAGATTACTGATAACTATAGTCCATTTTTACAACAAAATACAGCTTTGCTTACTTTATCATGACAATACAAATCTTTAACAGCCTTAAGTGTATGGCTGTTATTTAAACACACAATTCCTGACCGACATGGACAATATAAAGCAACCTGCCAATATAAATATATTTCAAGAGTTAAAATACATCAATCAATTTAAAAAAGCAACCAATAATAAAATAAATAGTTTAAATTTTCAAATATAACAATAACGATTGTATACAATTTTTTTTAGTAGATTAAAAACATTTTTTCAACGTTTGAAATAGTAGTTAAAGTAGCAACTTATTAAAATTATTAAAATGAAATAACATCTAGGCTTATGTGGTTTAATTCTATTTGATCATATACCTTTTGTGAGTCTTCAATTTGTAGCTTTTTCTTTAAGAATAGTGAGAGATTGTGTATTGTAGCACCACCAGTGACACGAACAAAGGGTTTATCCTGAAAATAACAATACAAGGTTTATACATGACATAAAATGATTTTGGGATAAATTAATAAGAAATTTCAGAAGTTCTATAGTCCAAATAGTAAAGTTGGCTAAAATAAAAAAGACATAATTCAATTAAAGAGCATAAAAAAGTATTTATACTAACCAATTTATGAGTATTATCTCTGGGTCTGGAAAAGAATTTAGGGAAAGGTTTTCAAAATATTTTTTAAAAATATGTATCTTCAATATAATGAATGTTTGAAGAAAAAAAAATACATGAATAAATTTTGCAAATAAAAAAATCACTTAACATTGCTAACCAAAAAAAAAGTTTTTTTCACTCAATCTATAAATCTATTCAAATATTAACATAGGTCTTTAACTTACTCTAAGCACTGAAGGCATAATGAGACAGAGGGAACATAAGAACTTCTGTGAGACACTGGAGTACTTATTGGCTGTCGAACTGGTTGATGAACAGGAGCAGCTTTTGGAGGAGGATGTCTCTGATTATCTAAAAAAATACACAACAAAAGATTTTTTCAGAGTTCTATTTTTTGAATAGATATTCTCTGACATTGTTTATTCTTAATTCAAACATCTTGTTTAATATCGAAAGGCTGATTATGCAACTGCTTTTTAAAAAGAAATGTTTTCAAAAATATAAACAAAATAGCAACTTACTGCCAAATTCCTTGTTATGTTTCTCATAAAATGATTTTTCTTTCCTCAATTCCTCTGAAGAAAAAAATAAGATTTTTTTTTAAATGGATCCCATTGCTTTCTAACAAATATTATATAAAAAGGGTTACTCCTCTTTCTTGTAAAAGTCATTCATATTTAGTACCAAATTAAAGATTTATTTTGAAAATATTATAAGTAAATTTATTTCTCTCTGATTCTTATCACCATTTAATGGAGTTGGATAATTTACTAGTTTCTAAAAATCTAATAAACGTAGCTTTCCTCTTTGAATTTCAGTATTTAGTAGGCTTTTACTCCTCAATCATTATAATACCACTGTCTGCCTGCAACAGCCAACCTCTACAAACCAAAACAACAATCCTCTAAGCAATCTACTTTGACATAAGTATAATGCCATTTCTTGCTTGCCCCTTTCACATTTGTATGAAAGATTTGTGAAAATGTGACATACTTCATTTAACGTTTTAAAAGACTGATTTTCTTCTCTTGCAACGTCTATGACATACCTTTTTCCACATGAGGTAGAAGAGCATATACAATATCTTGTAATAATCCATCAAGTCTAAGTGGAGAGGATAAAAAGCAAAGTGAAACATAAAGATGTGGAATGTTAACATAAATGGTAAAACATTTGACTTTTGCTAGCTGGTCCATGAAGAGCAACTGTGCAAGATATATGAAATAAAAGATTTCTTTAATTATAATAAAGCATGTTTTTTTATATGGTTGGTGCTTTTTTTCTGGAAAAATTTGTAAACTTAAGTGTAATATAGTAATAATCATACAAACGTTGCCGTCTTGTCTGTTTAGAACTCATTATGACAATTGTGTATTTTCCATTAGCACAGTAATTATATCAGTACTTCATTAAATTTATCTAAAGCCATTTTTTTTTAATTTTAACTCACTCTACCTTATATGTACAAATGGGTCTGTAGGGTGGATAAGTATAGCACACATAGGGCAGTTCAAACTCCTGTCCAGGTGTTTCACAATGCAGTTTTTACAGACTTGAACATAAGAAATTATAACTAATTTGACAAATTAAAATAATATCCTACAACAGATTAATTATTTTAATGAAATGGTCAAAGTGGGATGTAATGTAAATTTATACTAAAAAACAGGCTCAGTGTGTTTTATTTTAATAAAGCTGTTTGTAATCTTAAACTGAACCACAAGAAATGAATTGAAAATGATAAATTATGAAATATGGTACCAACAATTTAAAAAAAGCCTATGAATTCTCAATTCCATCATCTGTAAGGATTTTTAACCATATAATAATTATATGTTTCATAATTCAACATAAACAGAGCCTAGAAGTTACAATTAGAATATTACATTTGTATGTGTTAGGTTTGTTGAATTTCAGTTTTTTGTTCCTTGTGTACCCAAAAAAATTGTGAAGCAGGAATCAAGATTATTTTAAATGATGAATTCATGTTTTCAACAGTTTGATAAACACTGAAACAGATAATTAAGGCAATATGTTCAAATCAATATCAACAATAAAAAATACTTACATGAGTGCATACATTCTGTTATTGTGCATGCTTCATATAGATATCCTTGACACAACCCACATATTAAATGAGGGTTAACCGATTGTATAGGTATCCATAGCATATTATTTTCATCAATTCGCCTTGGGGTTTGCTGCTTATTTTGACTTTCATTTACAGGTGACTCAGTTTCCATGGTATCTTCCCTGAATTTAAAAAAAATAAAACAACGTTTTAGCATCATCTATTACTTATTACCTTTTCATTTGAGACATTTGCATCACCCTTTTGGAAAATATCAAAGTGTCTAAAGCATGAGTCCTTTTGTAAATCAGAAACGGGGACAAGGAGTATACTATTTATTCCTTAACAATGTGCCTTTGAAGGACTATTCATTTAGAAGTGATCATCCACGACCAGTCAATAATTTACCTGTAGTATTGACCTGTGATTTTCAAAATTCATTTTCATCTCAGATACAGAGGCTGTGTAGCAGAAGACCTTTCACCAACCTTTAAAAATTTGTTGAGTACCAAGAGTTTTGCAGACAAAAATAAATTTCCTTTATTATCCTATCTTTTGAAGGTTTGCTGCTTTTCCAAAATGGTATTTCATGGAGCATGTTGTTACTTTGGTTTTTCAACTTTGCGTCAATAAAAATAAATGCACTCCAGATTTCTGAACATGGCAACACTAATGTGTCAAGCAACTTTGAAGCAGATATCAAAAACGACCATAACTTCACAAATCCTATCCATTGCATGATTTTTTTTAGTTTAGAACTCATGACACGTGATGACAATTGTTTCTATAATTATTCTGACTACTTCAAAAAGCTGCAATTTTGCTGGAACAAGTAATATTATGTTACTGGACATTATGGTGCCAAGGTCGATGGTCAAATAAATGTTTGAGAACGACTGGTATAAGACCACATCTGGTAGTTAATAAGTATAGGAATAATATTATTAGTTATTATTAATAAGTATTAGAATATATAGACTAGACCTATCTTAAAATAATAAATGTAATAAAAATATACAATCAATCAATGTTTGAACAGATTGCAGTGATGAGCTAAATCTATCCATAAATGTCCTGCAAATTTTACCAATTTTTGTCTGGTTGACACAGACGACCAGCTCGCCTCCATCATACATAATGCCCCTGCCCCCCCCCCCCCAAAAAAAATTCCCTGTGTCCACTACTGTCCTTTACAAACCATTAGGAATCCACCTCCCATGGATATCAAATTAGTGCACCTGTGTCAGTAACATTTCACTAGAACAGTGGATTAGCAGCAGTAAATATTTTTCTGGTGAATTTTTTCGTGCATTACTTGCATTAGCAATTTTTGTTTGCCTTGTTTAAAAAATGTTAATTAAAGAAATAAAACTGTGATAGCTAAATTATTTTCATATTTTACGGTTGGGGGGTGGAATGTTTAAAACCGAGTGGGCCTGCAGTGCTACAAATAGAATGAGAATCTCTACCCTAGAGCATTTACTAAGATCGTCATCGTCTCCCCCCGCCTGCCCCGTCAACCATTTTTTTCATTTCCAGCCCACTTCACCTGGCAGTCCTAGTTATATGACTCCCATTTACCCATAAATTATCTTGATTGTCAATGTCACTACACCCATTTTCTCAGACTCCTCCTCTGTGGCGGCCTGTAACTTGATCAGAACCATTCTTCCAACCTAGCATACCTGTACTGATTCTCTCAGTGATCGTAGTTTAAAAATAAAATAATTATAGTTGGTATATAAAAAAATAATGTTTAAAATATCTGTAATTTAGGGTTATTAAGTGCAATTCTTTACTATGATATTCCGCTTTTCGCAGATATGTGATGTCATTTATGGATGGCCCCCAAAAAAATTATTTTTACAATATGTTTAATGCAAATTATTTTAGTAAACTTTGACGACTTAGGCTTACCTATTTTAAGTTAAGTCTTTAGGCCTAGTCATGCCCAAGTGCCTTCTATACTAGAGTTTAGCACTAGGGTCCTGTGAGTGCTAAACCCTAATTATATGTATTATTATTATTACAGCATACACTACACTATCTATTAGTAGCCTTCACAATAGTAGGCTACTTAGTAAAAGTTAGTAGCCTACTATTGTGTATAGGCCTACTATACTGCTGATACTGAACTACTGCTTCTTGGTTGACCATACTCTCTATTATTAATAGATAATTTTAAATTAATACTTAATCTTGCCTTATTGGCAATCCTCCGAAGTCCGGTCCCAAATTATTTCGTATGAAAAAAATTGCAATGCACATTGTCTATTGTTAGAAAACAGCAGAAATGTCCGTCATGGCTTTTGCAAATAACTGTCAGTTTACAAAACAGTGAGTAAACACTAAATATTGTATTTGTACTTGGCACATAACATTTGCAAATAGCAGCCAAAAACGTTCTGCTTGTGACTGTTGCGCCACTGAAGGCTCCAAGTAGCTGGCAAACAGACCACGACTAGTACCACTCTGATAGCGGAGTTTACGTTTCGCTTGCATCCAAAGTCCTTCAATAATTTATGTGTGAATGTCCTGGTCTACTGGATCAACAAATTCATGCGCGTGCACAATGACAGCGTGAGCATAAATCCCGTTGTTGAGCTGACAGAAATTTTGATATCCTCGCCCATCGAAAGTGATGATAGCTGTCCCTGGTAACACATGATTAGTGATAATGCTCTCTAGTGTTTGTGCATCTCGACGGCCGACAACCTCCATCCAACATCGTCCACTGCCGCAAACATGAATTTCAAAACAGAATGATACCCAAGACTTTTAAGTAAGGAGTAATCATTGGAAATAATTTGGGACGGACTTCGGAGGATTGCCTAAGCCTAAATTATTATAGTATAGACTTAAATAAAATGATTTAGACTTAGACTTAGACATATACTATTCATTGTTCATTGAGTAGGCCTAATTCGTAGTTAATAATGTAACTAAAAATAATAAAAATGTACTAACTTTAGTTAACTATTAATACTATTATATTTAATATTAGGCATTAGTGGTAGGCCCTACTTTAAGTTACGGTCTAGGTAAGTCAGTCACGTATGGTCGTATGACATAGTGACATAGTTACTCAGTGGTGGTAGGCCTTCCCAAACATAAAACACGATTAGTAATTTTAATCGTCATAATAAATATATATTATAATTAAATAATATAGGCGGCATAGATCTACTTTATAGCCACAAAGAAAAAGGGCTTGGAATTTCTAATAATTTTACCCAGCCCTCTTTTGGCTTGTACTTACAATCCACACTTTTCTTTTACGCTGAGCGCGGGTGCGTGCAAGTAGTTGCCGTAAATCGTTTTGGAGTGCGAAGGTGAGGTAAATTCGCGTATTCGTCAAGCTTGCTGCTTGAGCTATATATGTAGGGCCTAGTAGTAGCAGTAATAAAATAACAGTCTTCAACAGTGGAAAGTTCCAAAGAGCTTGTTTTAATTATTTCACTCAATGAATCCTGGCGGTCACTAATAAAAATACAATAATAAAAACTTTGCTTTGCATTAATCCAAACTGCAGCACTTATAACTTATAGCTAAATAAATCTACATAACAATGAACAAGACTCGTGATTTTTTATTATTATTTAGAGCAGGGGCCGGGGCAGCGCATCCACTTTGCCGCTCTTGTAAAATACTATCCATTCCGCCGCTTTTGTAAAAGTAAAATACTATCCATTCCTCTATGTTTTGAGCTTCAATCAGTGCTTAGCACATTCCCAGGGCCTCACGTCCCTATGGGCCCAATGCCTCAATGGGGCATCACGCTTCTAGAGTACCTCACGCTTCCAGGGGCATTATGCTGCCAACATTGTTAAGGAATATTGAAATATTTTTTTACAATTTATTTTGCTTTCAAAATGCAGCGGGAAGACTGTTTCTCCACTTTTTTTAAATTTTACTTCCTATTTTTTTTTTTTTTTTTTTTTCTATTTTTTAAAAAAGGTTTTTTTGATTAATTTTTAATTTGAAAAATAATATAGAATTATTTTTTTTTTTTTTTTTTTTTTTTTTTTTTTTTTTTTTTTTTTGTTTTTAAAAAAGGTTTTTTTCATAAATTGTCAATTTGAAAAATAATAAAAAATTATTTTTTTTTTTAAGTTTTGGGGGGTGGGGGGGGGGGGTAAATCAAAGCGTCTTACAGAAGGCGCTATAAGCTCATTATTTAGTTCTTTAGATGACAAAAAAAGGAAAAATAATTGTTATAAATTCAAAAAAAACTTAAATTCATTCATTGACGAATTAGTTGAAAGAAATAAAAAGTTCCAAAATAAAATTATGAAACAACATTACTATTTAAATACATTTTTTTTTTAAAGGGATTGTGAAACGCATGGATGGTCAAGAGAACATAAACTTCAACTACCATATTTTCTGTTGCAAGCCGATGAGGAGAAGAATGATGCAAAACTAAATCATGTAGGCCTATGCACCAAAGTGCATCTCATCAATTTGAATTTATTTAAATAATTATATGGGTAAGGGGTTACTAAGACTTACCAAAACCATACCACCAGTTTCGTTCGGTGCCCTCGAGCTCGTCTCCGTCCCCAATTAAAGTGACAGTACCGACAGATTTAAATAGAAGAAAAAAACTGCGCTGAAAGTACGTAATTATATTTTTTAACGAAAAAAGTTATAGATTTTCACTTAGTTTGGTATACGTAATTAGACCATATAGATTCAATGGGTGAAACTAAGCTGGAGCTAAAAGCATACCCTGAGTGGGGCTCCCCAACCAGAATGAATTTATGGTTACATATGGTGGGGACGACGAAGACAGAGCTGCCCAGTGCGCAGTGTTTCTTTCAAAAGGGGGTGGGGGGCATTTCAGATTTTTCGGGGGGGGGGGGAGGGCAGTGCCACCGGTTCCAGTTGATTTATTGTTGGACATATTTTTGCTCGGGGGGGGG